GGATCTCTTGTTTTACAAGATACCTAATACTAATTTCATATAATTTAATTTTTACAACCTAATACAAATTTCAGTATTCTAGAAAATGCTTTTATGGGATTTATCAAGTTTCCTGAAATGTCATAGCTCTTTAAAATACATCATAATTTTGATCTGTCTTTGCTGACATGTAAAGAGCTCAGAAGAACAACCTGTCTCAATGAGTTGACAAATTAGTACTTTAAGATATCAATCCTCTGAAAAGGTATTTTTATTTACAAATTAAAATGAAAATTCATTATTGTATTGAGAAAATGGATCTATTTTATTTATCATAAAACTTTACCTGTGTTACATTACGACAAAAATCTAAAATAAGTAAAAAAATGCAATGTCCACACCAACATGTCAAAAATAAGTAATGGACACTAATACTTATTTTTTAATTATCAATACATTTACTCACGTGAAAGTATTTTTGAGCTTCAGGTTCATAAAGGAGAGAGACCAATTTTCTTAAATTATAATGTGGTGGATGAAAAAGGATGATACGTTCATAGGTAACTTTCATCTACACATCAGGAGTTTCACATAGTAAATTTTGGTTTAACCCGTATCACAGCCCATATATGAATGTTTTCTAATGAGAAACAATAATTTCAATCATACCTAAGTATTTGGTTTAGAGTACATGGTGAATAAATCTCAATTCTGTGCAATTTTTATTTTGTCCATCACATGGATCACGAAATATCATAACTCAGACATTTGAATGAAGCAAATCAAAAATACAGTGACGGAGGAATGATTACACGTTCGATCCTTTTTGGATGTTAAAGACGCATGGTCAACTGCCTCCACACATCATTTGTGGTGATATTTGGCAAACTTAAATGCTTCTGCAGCCCAATCACAGTGGCTTCTAGAGTTGATCTTTTTTCTTCCCATGAAGGAGTCCAAGAGGCATCAAATCACACCTCATTTGCCTCAATTGGTGGATGGGAAGGGATCCAAGGGGTGACAAATCGATGGACATAGGTTATTCAAATACTGCAATGTCATATTAACGGTTTCCTCTTTTTTTCCTTCCTCTGGGGCATAAAATCCTATAATACTCGAGCAAGATCTTCAAAATCTAAGCATTATTGTTCTGATATCCATGAATAAGACATTATCCGTTCTTCCATTTTGTATGCACTAATATCGCCATCCCTGCCACAGTCCTCTTTTCTGGAGGATCTCTGGAATAGATCAACTTGTATTCTCCTAACTCAGACTCCGCTTACTCTTCTCATTTGTTTCAGATAAAACTGCTATTTCTATTGTTTTTTATACGTTCACTCACTAGTTTTGTCTGTTACGCTTCTAAGATTTTGAACTCCAAGTTTAAAATTGTATATATCATAGTTCTTGCCATTGCCATAAACATTTGGGGTTTAGTATGGCTGCTTTACTGTTGTATTTTAAGTTACACAAATTCCATGATACAGACTACTGAACTAAATCTACGCAGGCCAACAGTCGCAAATCCCGACCCAACCCTCAGACAGACATTACTACTGATATCACACACTGTGCTTTTGTTTTTCAAAGAAACAGACAATTTGAAAAGTAGTTTTCAGTTTCAAGGACCCTCAAAATGTGTATGACTCAAAGGCTCATTAATTAATTAACATTGATCTATTTATTTCGTCATATATTTATCTATTTAATTTATATATTAATGTACTTATCTGTAATTATTTTTTGCAGCATTACACAATTTTCCCTGTATTAATATCACAGTGTTTCTGAGATGGTAGCCATAGTCCAGTTGGCTTTAACAAAAGAGTGCTTGTAATACATTTGTGAGATCCAAGCCATGGTATTTTTGTGATCCTAAATTATTGCAATGCATTAGTCATCTGTTCTGAGAACGTCTAGCCTTCTATTTTTATCCTTTTATTGAATCATTTCCTGTGAGCATTGAAACTTGATTGCTGTACTGCGCAATGTCAGTCAGATACGTTGTTTGCAATGGCGCCAATGCATTCTGAACTCGTGGTGTAAGCGGTACAAGTCATGGCATTATTTTCAGCTGTGTCTGTGAGAAGTGCCTACAGAAAATGTAATCAATTGTCTTATTTAGGATCAACTGTCACTATTTCTTACCAAAGAGAACAGATGATGTGCAGGGACATCTGAAGTGAAATGAAAAGAAAAAAAAATCCAAACCTTGAAAAAGGAAACAAGGCAGAATTTCTAAATATTTTTGTGAAAAATGTAAAATATGTTTGTTTATAGCATGCGAAAATCATTTGTGGAAATTGTATTTAATATTATTTAATAAAATAATATGTTTGATGACTTTTGCATGTTCCTTGACAATTTTTACCTTTCTAACCATAAGTATTTAGACAAGATTTCTGCAGTCTAGGCTTCATTAACAATGGGAGACATGTGTAAACTAAATAAAATACACAATTCAGTAAATAGAGCTCTCGCATTCACAAAGTGTTGTAGCTATATCTGAGAAATACATTGCACACACTGGCACGAGTCTATCTATTACAGGCACTCCCAGGTTAACGGACCCATTGTTGGATCGGACCACAGCCTACCAGCTTGGAAACACACTGTTATTGACTTCGGCCATGAAAGCCTACAATGCTTTCTCTATGTTATGTACAAACAGTTAAGGAGGAAAAATTTGGAAAATGTGATACAAAGTGCCCCTTGAAATGAAATGATTCCTTTGAAATTTGCTGGTATTCAAATCAAACAGGAAATATCCTTTTGGAAAAAACCCTGAATACAGTTTAAGAAAGAAAATTATTTAAAAATGGGCATCAATTTTGAAAATCTCTTTATATCACTATTATAATATCAGGAACCTCAAAAAAGGTTATTTCTATCAATATGTCCAAATCTACTTTTAGAAGCATGACAAAACTTTCTACCACATGTACTATTAAGTAAAAATCAATGAAATGATTGTTATTTACTGAAAATTATTGAACGTTTATGAATTTCCACTTTGATTATGAAGAAATACAGAATATGGGAGGAAATGCTTCCCATTCTTTCTTATTTTCTCTTTTTTCTTCTTTATTTTAATTAATTTCTTCTTTTTATTCCTCAGACACTAATGACGATAAGGAACACATTAGCTTCCATCTATTTACAAATAAATTGATTAATTAATGGATAATAAATATACTAAATACAAGTACACAAAAAATTTTTAAAAAACTAAAAAAGAAAACCAGTTAAACCAACTAGATAAGTCACACATCATCATCAAGTCACAAAAGTTCCACATCAGAAAGAGATAACCCTAATATATACCAGAGGCAGCCAACAGGCTGCTAGTGACCTTGATTTATACGTCTCTCAACACATTAAAAATATTAGGTTAATATTTCTTTAAACAAATCAGCATATTTTTTCATAAATCTGTTTAGGAGACAACGCAAGGTATAAATCTTAACTCCAGTTGGTGATGCAATTGTACTTTGCACATCTCCCTCCAGTCAGGTAACACACATCCTGTCAATATTTTATTGCTGTTTTGTTTGAGAGTCAGTTTATTTCACAATCTGTTGAAAATGAAAAGCATTTGAATAAACAGAGGGCCTCAGGACAAATGGAAACCAATTCTTTATTCGTAAATAACAACGACAATAAATCTCAGTGTTTAGTGTGTTTGCTTGTACTCTCTACCCACAAAGAATACAACCTCAAACATCACTTCACACAGCACCATGCAGCTAAGTATGAAGATTACATTGGACAGGGATGCATCGGATTCGAAGAAAAGTCAGTGCTCATGAAAGCCTTTTTTAATTAAATCAACACTTTTGCAAAAAAATAAAAACACACACCCACGCACCCACTGATCCCCCTCCCTGCGCACATACACACATCCCCGGTTCACACACTCTCACTCTCTGTCAGCTTCATATATTGAGAGTGCAAATAGCCAAGCTGAAATTTTTTTTTCAATAATCCATGACTAATGAATATCCAATGCGTGAATCTTCCACAATCATGAAAATCTTCCACAGCAAGTAGATAACATTCAGTTAGAACTCTGATTTGCAGGAAGACCCATTTTTCAGTCAAGATTGGAAGCTGGCTTTGCATTTTGTAGATTGATGCCAGAAGAAAAATAGCCCTAACTACACGACTTCAGCAGAAAAATAACTTCTATTTTTGAAAGCACATACGTTTCTGAGAGCAATTTTTCAATAATGGAGTTCATAAAATCAACGTATCGCAACAGACAACCATCTTCACAATCAAAATGGCAACTACCTTCAATTAAATTGACTTTGATATACTATTGAATGAATGTTCCAGCCCAGTGTTCTCCCTAACTCAATAAATTTATTATTGTTATTATTACTTCATTTGATTATTAAACTTGATATTAAAATGCATGGTACTTTGTATGTAATGGTACTTTACATAACTTTTGTTAATTCTTACACATTTTGTTTCTTGATATAAGCATACTTCTTGAAATTAGTTGTGTGCCCCTCTCCTTCATTTAAAACAAAAAAAAAAGTGATCCTTGGGGAGAATGAAGTTTGCCATGAATGGTCTAAGATTGTTGACCGAAACTCTGAGGAAAAGGCCAGAAATTGTGGTAGGACTGCGTCCTGTGGTGCCAGATTGCAATGGGCTAAGAAAAGGTTGGTAGTAAGAGTTACTAACATAAACTACATGATTGAACTTGAAAATTAAATTGAATAATAAAGTGGAATCAATACTTTCATTAGCAATATTATATTAAAAACGAAAGGGAAGAATAATCACATTTCTGTTTTCTTTAGATAATTTGAAACAGAATTTATAATTTGCATCTTTTGAAGTCATAATTAATAGCAAAGGTATTAGAAAGTAACAATTATTAATGCTTTAAAAATCCCAAGCTAGAAGCCACAATTGGATATTGTTGTTTCTAAATTGTTATTACAAGTGTCAAGATAACTATTAACAAAACCCACTTTCTGATGAGCAATTTATTAATAACATACCTGCAGGATCCACAACTTCTTTGTAGTTCTGACCAGATTCAAAATTAGACAAAGGTGTATTACATGTAGTAGAAAATGGCATCACTTTCACTCCCTTGTACACAAGTCCTTTATTAAAAAGTTCTTTGAAAACCCACCAAATAGATTCCATAAACCATGGGTACAATGTTTTATAATCATTCTTGAAGTCTGAAAAACAAAGATAATATAATAATGAAAAGAAAAATTGGCATTATTTGCTTGAAGTAAATAACTTTGTCCAATTTAAAGAAGGCACCAGCAAAGGGCTGGTTAAAATTAAAAAAAAAGGAAATCAAAGGTGGAGGGAACAATGGGCAGTTAAGAGGGTTTTGATGAGGATCATTTGCTGAGCAGAGGTAATGAGCGATATGCACAACACAGTACTTAATTATAATAAGCAAGAAATGGGCCATCTAAATAAATTGAAGGGCTCAGTAGAACAAGAGGCTTTATTATAGCTGAGATATTAAGGGTTTTACTGCAACTTTCATAAAATAACTCTGAAACCTTGGATCAGTAAAATCATTCTGGAATACTTTTTATAAATATATTTTGAGAAATCACTTTGATTTACCATGATAGTATGAAAATTTTATTTCAATTTGCTGGTTAATAGAGCTACTAACCAATGAATCATGGAATCTTTCATAATTATTATTACCATTACAATCATTATTATTTATTATCCATTCAATCCATTAAAGCAAAAGTTGTATAGCAGTTATTTTATTTTTATTAATTATTTGGGTCTTACTTTCTGACAAATGTTACTTTTTTTGTGCATTTCTCATTCTTTGTAATTTGTGTTTTGATCATTGAGGGTTTGTACTACTTTGGCAAGAATAAACACTTGATTTTTTTATGCATTGCACTGAGAAGAGTAATTCATTTGATTCAAAACCATGGATATGTTGCCAGAAATTACGTGCCCTGAAAATCCTATGAGACTAATCCAGTGGAAGTTGTGTGATGGCCAGCGTTGCCTGATGTTTAAATGTATATCCCAGTGTCAACCTTCAAAAATCCTGGTACCAATGCCAATAGATTTAAATTCTGTAATAGTTTAAATTATAACTTATATTTTTTAATGTGCACACGACGTTCATTAAACCACCACAAGAACACTTCGTTTTATATTGATAAACTAAATGGAATAAATTTAACGTTCTATCCTATTCTTCCATAGCATGTGCTAAAAAAAAAAAAGACTATTCTATGTCACCCTAATGTTTTCATGGCAGTGTTTTCATTAATATCATAGTTATTTGTAATATTCGTGTTAGATTTAAGTGACTGAATAAGAAAGTATTTAATAAATCTTAAATTGTACATCATTAATTATTGTAGACTTAAAATCCTGGTATTTAAATGTATCAAGATATCTACATCCTAATATATGGTATCTTCATTAAAATTCTAGTAAAAATACCAGGATCCTCGTATGTCTTGCAACACTGGTGATGGCTTCAAGTGGAAGAGTAGCAAAGGGGCCGCTCAGATAGGAAAGTGTTCTGTGTGAAAGGGAAAATGGTCCAAGAGAAGCAAAATAAATATGAAAGGTCTTGCCTTTCCTAGGGTGTACCGTATTCTCCACTGTAATCCATTATTTTTAAAGTTGTAAATATATTTCCTTAATACTCTATTATATGTACCTTACTAATTCAACACTTTTCCTCCTGAAAAGTAATATTAACAAGAAATTTGTATACCACCATATTTAACTGCAATATTTTTTTGAGAATCACTACTTGACATGCCTATCATTTTTGGTCACAAAACTGGTAGGAAGTGCTGCATAGTTCCCAGCTGCCTTCCATATTACATTTGCCCAAGAAGTTTAAATAATACCTCTAACTATCCAATGCAATGCAACTAAAACCACAGTTTACCACATTTGGCACATATAACTAATCATACTTATGTATTCAAAATTTATAAAAAGAAAATGATTATTTATTAAAAATTACTTTTATGTACTCGCATCCGATAAATTCTGTATCAACCTACACAATTCCAGTTTTGATTCGATTAGATCTTGTATCTCTGAATTAATAGAATATAGAGAATTATGAGGATCACATGTATTGAATATTGGTGTATTCAATTTACCCATTATTTGTTTGGTAGGCTCCATGGATTGAGGACCCTAAAATTCAGAATGTTTTAAATTTGATTCATTTCTAAACTTTGTCTCACTATAACAGTATTTTAAATAGAAATGATTGCTTATTAGACTTCATTTTTGCAATTTTTTTGTGAAGGTTCAGGACACTACGATCTTGTATAATCACTTTGGAGGAAGAACAGTTATGCTTGAATCTAGTGTTTATCCTCCAAGAGATATTGATAAAGGTTATATGTAAATGAAATTTGATTGTAGAGCTTGAAATGAAGACGAGTGTTGTATCAAATACAATGAACCCAGTTCAAGACAGAAACCTGTCCAAGTCGGAAAATATTTTTGGTCCCCAAGAAAAAGCGTGTGTATTTACTTGTTATTTCACCTGAATAAAATGGAAACTATCCAACTTGAAACCAGAAACCATCTGTTACTGTATTATTTACAATCCACTGTCCAAAATGAAAAAAAATGCTGATTCAAGGCTAGATACACACTACCCCTATTTCACACACACTCTTCCAAACTAGATAAAAATGCCGCAAATGGGATTTTTTCTGTACCTGGAGGTACTGATGATTCATCCCTCCACCCTATTTTTCACTTCTTGTTCTCACGGTGGGGAAGACTACTCTGACTTTCTTGTTGGTACTTGCTGCTCTACATGGCCAACGCCATCATTTCCACACACTTAAGACATCGCAGGGGTGACCTTGACTTCGGTGTTCTCGCATTCATCACACTGCCCTTTATACTCTTCCTTCACTCCCTGGCTATAAGCATTTTGGAATTTTGGGCTTAGTTGTTCAAATATCGTAAGACAATCAAGTTCGAGTCATTAAGTGGCAGCCACAGAGCATAGTAGTGAATTTCATGAACTACGTTATGGAAAAATACAGCCCTCACATTGTGATAAAGTGAAAGTCATTGAATTACCTTAAAAGGAGAAACTGTGCATAAGGAGAAATAATGGTGTGACGTGGATGTAGTAAAATTTAAATTTATGGCATCTTGAAAAATAAAGAACGCATTGGGAGTGAGTGGTTTAGGGGCAATAATGGTGACATCAAGCGAAAACAACAGGATGTGAATAACTGAATGAACTTTTGCTCGAGTGGTTTGTTAGTGCCCATTCGAAAAGCTTGCCAATATCTGGACCCATTCTGTAGAATCAAACCATTTAAATGGCAAAAAACTGAATTCAAAGTTCAGAGTCAAGAGTAAGCAAAGAACACATCAACAACCATTAACTTTTCTGATTCATTGAAGAATACAAGAAATCTGCAAATTTTCACTGCAAATAAAAATTGCTCTGAACTTTATGAACAATTGTGTGAAGTGAAGGAATGTGTGGAGAGGAATATCATTCAGCGCAACACAAAGCAATTAAAACTGACAGACATGTGGAGTATTAATAGCAAAAACAAAAATGAAGTGTAAAACATTGTATGTGATGTATTTAAAAGCATTAATGTAGAGTATTTTTTGCGATTCATTTAAATTAGGGATGCAACAACTCATTTCTAGAAGCAAAAGTGTCTGAATGGCTACACCTGAATAATATGGAAACCTGTTCAAGACAAACAATATTGGGACCCTGTCGTTTCAGTCTTGAACAAGTTTCACAGTAATTAAAATTTTTAAAATTTGTCAAAAACTTGATAGACGATTCCAATCTCATCTCAAATATATTGATGGTGCCCCAGTTCTCTATATGATGAAAAAGGTGTGAGAATAACTACTGATTTCCTTCGCAGTTATTCTCATGATTTGGATAATTCTAGTGATTTTTTATCTATCCCTACACATCCTGCAACTGACTATGTCAGCACCATCAATGATTAATTTTGTAATAATCTTGTAATTGGGGATACCTGCTGAAATTAACTTCATGTAAATAAAAGTAGAACGAAGAAAAACTAATACAAATAATACATTACATTCTATAATTACATATCTACATACATTGCAACTATATTTATCCAGCTATTGGTATTTATATTACTTTATCACACAATTTTCCTACAATCTTGACTAAGAAACTACCAAAATTCTTTTCCAGAAAAAAAACAAAACAAAGTTACCTATCCAGCGACCCAGACGGCCCACAATGACCTCCCAATCTTTTGCATATCGAGTCACTATTTTCCTGCACTCTGCATTGTATTTATCAATGCCCATGCGAGCAACATCCTCAGGACCTCGTATATTTAAAGTTTTGTCTATTTCAAATTCCACAGGTAGTCCATGGCAGTCCCATCCAAATCGTCGTTCTACATGAAATCCTTTCTGATGTGCATAGCGTGTCACAATATCTTTTATTGTGCCAGCAAGAATGTGACCATAATGTGGGAGACCAGTGGCAAATGGAGGTCCATCATAAAACGAGTATCTGTAAAAATAATAGCTAATGACATTAATCCATTGACAATTAGCCATTAATTACCTAATTTGATAATAAATATTTGACACCAAAGAGGATATTGATAATTTGACTGACAGTATTTACCACAAATAGCTCACAGTGACAAAATGTGAGTTACACAATAATACCAAATTTAATGAACTACCTTGGTTTTCCTTCTGATTGTTTTAAACAAGTTTGAAATACGTCCAATTTCTTCCACAATTCCAGTATCTTTTCTTCTTCGCCGGGAAAGTCGATCGTCTCAGGAACGGCTTCTAATGACAGTTCCATCGTAATTTTAAGGCAGTTCTCGATAAAATTCAACACGCTGCGTCAACCACCTACAGGTAAAGAACGTGAACAGACACAACTGTGCCAAACAATCACATTCACGTGTCGCACATGCTTGCATCGAAAGATGGATATCAGAGAATCGAGTGGCTCGTGTGGTGGTGCTGGGGGGGGGGGGATGCCACCTGGGTGCTGCTAGGCGCCACGAAGTCTATACTCACCTACGGACTCACTTAGCATCAGCGACATCACGCGGTCAATAGAAGAACATTGGCATTTTTGGCCAATGGTTACGGAGCTCGTGTCAAATCAACGCCATTCGCGCGTTGTTATTGGGCGAAAAGAGTTCCTTTATTCATCGCGTGATGTCTCTGAATCTAAGAGGGTCTGATTAGCTGTCGACGTTTTCCGTATATGCCTTCAAACGGAACTCTTGAAAGGGTTTCGTAGGTCCCGCTCCCATACCTTAAGTCATAGATTAATGCTTCAACCGGAACCCTTTGAAGTGTTTCGAGGGTGCCGCTCCCATAACTTAAGTCATAGATTAATTCATGTTAGATAGATTCATTCATTGTTACGAGTCTCACTTATAGACTTCGTGGGTGGTGCCAAGTGGATTCTGGGGAATCAAAGAATAGCAAGTTAGACATACCATTAAAATCGAAGTATAAATCGCGCCTTATAGTGGAATGACACTGGAGTCACATTTCGAAAGTAATGAATTGTCTTGAAAGTAGACAGCGGCAAGCAGGGCGATGTCGTGACATCTCTTGAAAGTCGAGAGCATAGAGCATTTGCTTGTCACATATATTGTGCTGCAGAAGTGATGTGTCAACTTGATTCGATATCGAGAGGATTTGATATTCGAGTGATTAGGAATTTAGTTACTCCTCTTGAAATTAGTGGTGAAAATTGAAATATCGGATGTGCCTACTTATTTCTTTACAAATAAAAGAATGACAAGCACCGAAAGAATTCAGAGTACTGTTTTGTCACTCGTTGAAACTTTAAACATTAATGGAAATATGAAAGAAGAATATGAGAAACTCGCCCAGGAAGAAGTAGGTGTTTTTAATAATTTTGTTCCAGTATTGTCAAGTCTACACATACTTAATTTGTTGTATAAGTTACTTGATGTCAAGACCCTTTTGAAAGCATTGATATGTTTCAGGAAGCAGTGAACTTACGACTTGAATCCCTATTCAAACGACAATGTCATATTGAAGGTAAATTAAGGGGAATGACAAAAGTTTTACCAAATCTACAAATCGTTCATTCTGATGCCCAACAACTTGCTGAAATGATAACATTTACTTCTACATTGGCTGAAAATGTCAGTGCCAAAGTGCGTCAGTTAGATATTGCCAGAGTAAGTTATCTGAAGTTCATTCCCAAATCCTATAGTATTATTTTCACAATCGCCTATTAAAAAATTACGAAATTGTATTTCAGAGTCGAGCATCTGATTGTCAACAGCGGGTTCATGATCTTTTGGATCTTCAGCTTTGTGCTGAAGGTGTCAAAGCCTCATTACATTCTGAAGATTATGAGAAAGCTGCAGCACATGTACACCGTTTTCTTGCAATGGATCAACATTTGCTGGAACAAACTGCAGATATTGCTGAAGGTTTGCTCCTTTGTACTCATTATAATTAGAGTCTGGGTCTGTATGCAAATGCATATTTTTGTGCAAGTTGAGCTCTAAAACTACCCAGCAACTCAAAATTTTGCATATTGGGAGGTTTCTCAATAGCTGACCAGTTTTCAAACAGCAAAGAATAAGTGGTGCTACAAAATGTCTGACTTTCTTGCAGCAGTTTGATATCTAATCTATTTAGAATTGCGTCCCTCTTTTCCCTACTGTTACAGAGGGGTCACAAAGTCTGCTTTTCACATTTTCTCAATTTTATTGGTCCGATCCTCTACTAATAAAACATTGCAAAATCAAAATATTGATGATGGAATTTATTTTTCTACAATAAAATCTGTTCCTCAAAACTAGATTTTCGACTAACAAAAGAAAATCTGTAAATTTTTGCAAATGCATATGTTCAACATTTTTTTATAGCTTTGAGAAGGTGGTGTAAGGTAATGTGAATGGTGTTCTGGCTAGAAGAACCTGAGTTCAAATTCCTTTGTGGAGAAGAAATTTTGCAGGTTGGAAACACTTTTGCAGGTCCATGTAGAATTAAATATTGTCTAGCAGTTAAAAATGAGACAGGAAAGTATGTGCTGTTGCAGCCCCACTATTTTAACTGGTGTAAAAATAGGTTTCGAAGGAAGCAAGTTTGGTCTGATAGAAAATTCCAAATCTTATTAGGTTGTTTTTACTGATTACAGATCCTCATTTGTCAGCTATTCTGTGATAATTTTCCAAGCAGCACCTGTTGCCTTTTTGCTCCCCATGATGCAATAACATCAAACAAGATCTCAGTTTTGTTTTATTCGCTTTGGTTACTCCTCTTTTTAAGTAATTATTAGGAAGTAAATTATCAGCACATAAAAAAAATAAAGTATTTAATATACAGTTAATTCAATTTTTTTGTTAAAAAAAATTTTCTTCTCCAAAAATTAAAATTGTTTTCAAAACTTTTGTTTTTCTATAATTGTTTTTAAATATATTTATTATTTGTATTTCTATAATTAACGTTTCAAATTTATAAAACAAATTAAGTTCCGTAAATCAACATTTTACATTTATCTTTTATAAATAATATTTGTTTTACTGTAATTTTATATGCAACATATTTTAAGGATTTTTAATATGTGTACATAAAGACTCTACATATAATGAAAGCTTGTTTGACAATGCAAATATCATTTAATTCTTAGAGACCACTTTGCTCATCTTTCGTTGAAGTGCTGTTTATTTTAAAACTATATTTTCATTAAAATTTTTTTGAAGATTGAAGTATTTGATTGTGATTCATGAAAGCTTCAAATAAATGCTATAGTTATCTAATTTTTGGGCTAGTGCAGTAAGAAAGATAATGATTATCATGTACAGGTGGGGTGGGGTGGGGGGGAAAAGTTTACACATCCACAACATGAGCTGGGTTACAATGTTTGCACTCTATTTGCTTACATCTGATCTTTTAAAATTCCTTTTTTAGTTATATAAATGTAAAAATTGTAAAAACATTTTATGTGCTAAATATTTTTAAAAAATAGTTTAAAATTCTGACCCTACTTTTATGAAAATATGACTTTATTTTATTGAAATTTGTGTTGCAGATTGTACAAATGTTACAAACTCTTTCTCCCTTCTACAAGATGCCGCTTCACAGTTGAGGTCTGTGGTGAATTTGCGTTTTGATGAAGCTGTTCGGGCAGAAGATCTTGCATCTGTTGAGCGATTTTTTAAATTGTTTCCTTTGTTGGGATTACATGATGAGGGGTTGGAAAAATTTTCTAACTATTTGTCGACAAAGGTATGCACCAAGGAAAAAATGTTAAAAATATTTTTCATAGCTGTAACTTAAATGTTCAGAAAAATATAATTTATTAATTGAAAATAAAGCCAATTATACTCTCTTCTAAATTCATAGTGGAACCTTTGGTGTGAATGATATATTTAATATGATTTTTAAAGTTTTTTAAAAATCTTTTCATATCAATAAAAGTCTGTGATACTGATCAACAACAACTTATCAATGCTCTTTTTGAATAGTGTATTCAGACTGTGCTAAAACAATGTTTGTTAGCACCTACATTGTAAGTGAAACTAGCTGAAAAAAAGTGAAATCTGTTTTTGGTATATTTGTATATTTGATTAAAGAACATGTTTAGATTAATACATTGAGAAAATTGTCAACAAATCAGAACTAGAATTTGAATTGAGGGGAAATCCATATGAAATAATCCTACAGACATTGCCTAGTAAAAAACAAAAAGTTATTTATGTACCAAAGGCATATTAAAAATGCTAATGATCTCAGTTGACAAAAAAAAACATGGACTTTTGTTACTGGAAATCATTAGAAATTGTATAAATCTGTGGCACATAAAAGATTTTATTTTTAACTAATTTATTGTTTATGCTATCTTATCTCATTTTCATATTTCCACTATTCTCTTGATCCATGGAAGTTAAAGAGTTTATATTGTGCTCCATATCAAAGGTATTAACATATTCATTTATTAAATAAAGCAATTGCCCAATACAATATAATCAATATAGTGAATCAAATAGAAATGCAAATAAATTAATTGAAATCTTTCAATGATTTTTCTTTAGACTGGAGAATAAAATGGCATTTAGAAAGTGATAATTCTGTATTAGAGTTGTTTGCTTATCTAGCCATAAGAGGCGTATACAAATTACTAGTAAAAAAATATTAGTAATAAATTGTAGTATTAATATTAGTAAATAGTAGTAAATTATCAATACAAAAATAATTTTAAAACAATATATTTTCATTGAAATATTTTTGAAGATTGAAGTATTTGATTGTGATTCATGAAAGCTTCAAATAAATGCTATAGTTATTTAATTTTATAATATCTAATTAATTAATCCCCCATTGTTTCCATTGGACTTCTGGAGTTCACAACTAATTTTCAACAATTTTTATTGTTTATGTATGGTTTTTGATTTGTAGAACAAACAAATTTTAACATTTGCAAAAACAAGCATACCTTTGAAATTATTTATTTTAGATATTTCAAAGGTATTTTAGAAAGGTATTTCCTGTAAGAAACATAATTGTGCATGCTTATTGTTTACTAGATTGCTGACACTGCAAATGGAAATCTCAAGACAGCATTGTCAACCCAAGCATCAGATCGACGAGCAAATATTATTTTTGCAGACACTTTGACACTATTATTTGAAGGAATTGCTCGCATAATTGAAATTCATCAACCCCTCATTGAAACTTATTACGGTATGAAATCCTTTTAATTATTTTTAGAGAGATTCATTGTAAAAGAATCATGATTGGATTTGTAGTTGTAGTCATTGATAATACATTTAACACTAAATCTCAAAATAGTATTTTATTACTTCACTGTGAAATGCACAGCAATATAGTCACTGCCTTTAATGGGTTTGGATGTTAATCAGTTCAGACTTCAGTGAGTTCAGTCTTCATGTGGGTGTGAACTTCACTGGTTTTCTGTTTCTGACTGCATTGGGTTACAACACAGATATTTCTGCTCATGTGCAGAAGGTTAATAATACTACCTAACTGTAACTTTTTTTAGTGAAATATATCCTATAGACACAGAAATTAACTTAGCATGTATTGCTTATTTAAAATAAAATGAAAAATGCTGAATAATTTGTGTTGTATTAGATGAAGGGTATTTGAATTGTAGAAAATTGTAGAAGTAAAGAAAGTATTAAGAGTGCTGAAAATGGGACTGCTACTAGTATAATGCATATTTTTATCTCTATGTTCTTCGAGGGAGAAAATGGAGTTTAACGGGGTATTTTCCATAGAAAAGACACAGTAGTCATTGTTTTTAATACATTAGAAGCATTGAAAAATTGGTTTCCTAAGAAAAAATGAATGTGTGTTGTAAAATTTAAAAATACTTTTTTGTATTTGAGCATTAAAACCCTTTTCATAACAAGAAATCGTTCATACAATGACATGGCACAGATTATGACACTTATGGTAGAAAAAATTGCTTCATCATACATTCAACCAATCCCACAAAGATTAACCATTTTGGCAGCTTCGGCGGTATAATAGTTAGCGTATCGATTACATCCAAGGTTGCGGTTTCAAACCCGATCGAAGGCGTGGTTTTAAGGTCGAAAAAGCATTCTTATGCTTTTCAATGGGAGGGAAAGTGAAGCTTGCTGTCTCTCTCATTGAAATTTACTGCATGTAAAATATCCTCAAGCCTAAAAGAAGTCTGTGGGCTAAATTAAAAATCGCCCGTTTCGTCGCCGGAGTAATACGTCTCCGTTAGATGTTGAAAGGTAGCGAAATTTACCTGGCCAGATGGAAAAGCAGGCCTGATGTCCCGAGTCCAGCCACATAAAAGAAGGCATCATTGAATTGAATCGGACGTGCCGGTACACGGAACAACCGATCATAAAAACATATTTTCGCACAGGTGCCAAATATCAGTGACGCCACAATCAATGTTTCCCAAAATTAACTTCCATACATTTATATTCCTATTCTAAATAAAATAGTATGAAGTTCTTTTATAATGCTGCTTTATTGCTTGCTCGTAGCGTAGCTCATCTTCAAAATAAAGACTCGTGGGATAAACTATGGAGTTGGATCAGTGGCGGGGTAAGTTGTACAACCCCCAGATAATCACATAAGATATCATAATATCTTAGGAATATATATTTTCTTTTTAATGACAATCAATATTCAAGATATTGCAGCAATATTGCGCTTAACGGAATCGTTTTGAAACAAAAAAGCGTCCAACTGCCGCTGTCTCCTGTGCCTGGTACCTTGGTGGGTATTGCATCATACTCTTGGCTGTTGCTAAGTTAACTGTCTTTTCTCTGGCTCTTCGATTTAACACGGCAAATATATGCCTTTTTGTTAGGGCAACCAGAGCGCTGCGCGTCGACCGCGGGGAATCCCAATAGTCTTCGCCCGACTCATATGAATTTTGCTTTTTATTGAAAATATACAAGTTAGGTACATTTTTGACGGTATTTCATGCATTATTTTTCTATTATGTTTCTAGAATTTATTAATTTGACGTTAGAATTATTAATTTAAAATGTATCATTGATGAATTATTTTTGTAAAGTCCCTTTCTCTGCAGATAATATTTCCGCTTGAAGTAACCTGCATAGAGAGCACTGGTAGGAATATGTTCGTGTGTGTGGAAGGATCTTTATTAAAAAATATACCAGGGTAGTGAAATTTCGAAAATAAAATAATTTTATTTGTGTGAAATGTGTCGTGCAATGTGCGGGAGTCGAACGTAAATGACCTCTGAAAACCAAAGAAGCCACGTGCGTGAGAGGTGTATTTACCTGAACGAACACGTCAACAATTGTGTTAATAATGCTTCAATATAAACTTTCATTTAACTTTTAATTTATCTGTATTGCTTACATTTTTTTATATATTCGTATTTTGAATTTTGGAAACTACATTTCCGTCATTGAACCTCCAGTCTGTTGAAGCATAGCCGCCACTGATTTGGATAATATAGTGTCGCGTGGCAGCAGGCAGGTGGCGCAAGCACAAGCACGTGATGTAGCTCCGCATGGAAAAGAGCGTCTCAGAAGCAAAGGCCTGTGTATAGCCTGGTGGAGGGCGGCGAAGGCTACTCGCCCCAACTGGCCCTGCCGACCTCCCTTCCCCTCTAGGCAATGGAGTGCTGGCGCTCCGCCCCGCTGGTCCTGTGCGCTGGCCACCGCAAAGACGGTCTCCGTCCACGGCGAGGCAGGGCTACGCCACACGCCCATGCCCATGGAAACGGCTGGACGCTTACTTTCCCTGCGACTGTAGTATGTTAGTTCGTGCCTTACTTCGCGTGGCGAGACTCGGCCGCAAATTTGTACCGGAAGAAAGAAGGGTGCGATGTTGGCTCGGAGGCTTCTTTTAAGCTTGATCTTTTCCGTGTGATAAATCTACAACATGGCTTGTTCGCGAGCGCAGGCCCGGGCCGTCTGCTGCGCGCGCTGGGGCCGCTGCTGCGCGAGTGCGACGTGCAGCTGCGCCGCATCGTGGCGGAGATGCAGCGCTGCCGGCGGCTGGAGGCGCTGGCGCAGGCGGGCGAGGGGGAGGAGCCGCAGGAGGGCGTGGGCGTGGGCGTGGGCGCGGGCGCGGGCGCGGAGGTGCGCCAGCTGGACCCGGCGCTGGGCGAGCTGGCCATCGCGCACGCGCGCTACGCGCTCTTCGAGCGCTTCCTGCGGCGCCGCCTGGCGGCCGACGCCGACGCCGGCGCCGCCACCGACGCCGACCGCCGCGCGCGCCTCCTCGAGGTGGACGCGGCGCTGGCGCGCGGCGACACGTGCCGCCGCATGCAGGAGCTGCTGTCCACCTACCTGGGGCTGGAGCGCCTCTTCATGGTGCAGAGCGTGCGCAAGGCCATCGCCCTCGACGCGCTGGACGACGCGGGCGGCGCGGGCGGCCTCTGCTCCAGCGCCGTCGACGACGTCTTCTTCATCCTGCGCAAGTGCATCAGGTGACATTCCCACTGCTTCCTCAATTATACCTCTTAGACAACTAGCGCCACGAAACGCCGTGACGTATTACATCCGGAAAGCAGTTCTTTTTAATGCCTAAGAATTGGGAGAGTGGTGGGGTTTAGGACATTTTACAGTGGTTGGAGTAGCCCTTGTGAAGCAGTCAAGCTCATTTGCTCTGAACAGATTTCACGGGAGAGTCTGCAAAACGAACCCGAACTTCCGCGGTGAAAGGCCAACGACTTTCGCTCTGAGACAAGAAATGGCTGCTTCTTAAATTACGTAACGCTAGCTGGGAACGAGGTTAGTGGAAGCGTTACATGGGAGAAAGGGTGTTGGTGTTACGTTATGCGGATATTGTTTTTTTTTCAGCTTGTCAATATTAACAAACTAAATTACAAATATAAATAAATTCATTGCGCTGTTATCAAGTGGTGGCGGACACATCGCTTTCCGGAAGTTATCGGCGCCCACTCAACATCGCCCACAAGTTGCCGGAACTCCCGGGAGTTGCGCAGCGCTGGCTGTCACGCTGGTTCTCTGACAAGTCTTGGCTTTAGAGCGCGTGTTCACAAGATTCTAAAGGGATATAGCTTTTTATTATCTAAAATATTTGTGAGGTCCGCTGTTTGCGATAAGGGCACAAACGGCACTCAAACACTCTCAATGGAATGTTACAATATCCCGATGTAGCTCCATCAGAGGACGTTTCAACTCGATGCTTATGACGGCACTTGCCTTCTGTAATGATACTGGTGGACCCAGCACTGCTTCTCTATTGTGGTGTAATACACGTACACTTCACACGCTACCGTTTTACGCTACGTTCTGCCAAAATAGTAGACGACTTTCCCACGAGAATGGGTTGGTTCTATGTTCTTGTTTTGACATGGTTGTCAAGCATCCTATTGTTAAAACATTCAAGTTTAAGCATGTATTCGCTCTGCCACTGCCTTGGAAAAATTTGATTTACTTGTCCGAGACAACGTTCAAGTAATATCGGGTGTAAAATTCCGACCAATATTTCACAATCGTAGGGGCAGAACATGCAGCCAACATCCACTTAATACCTGACAGTGCGACGGGTTGCCTAGCGCTTCTATTCAGGGGCACTTGAGAACACTGGGCGAGTCATCAACACCCACCTTGTTCGATTTAATTTACTTTTTAAATACACCCAATACTACTAGTATTCTGCGATTTTTCCAACTCTGCCCCTGGCAGGGTTCAGCTGTTGACAGTTTCATCCAATCGGGAGCTTGGACGCCATCATAGTGACGACACTATGGTGATGTTCAAGCTCCCGATTGGATGAAACCGTCAACAGCTGATACCTGCTGGGAGCAGAGATGTATAAATTGCAGTATAATAACTTGTGACAATTTCAGCAAAAATCGGTCGAGAATTTTTTCGGTTTATTTACGACAGATATGCACATTAACTTTTCGTCAGAAACTTTTTGGTGTACTTTAAAACGCAAATACAGCAATTACCGTAAAAAATGAAGACCATTCCAAATACCATCCGAGTCGTTTTAAGGCCAATTTTGGGTCAAGAAAAGAGAAAAAACTTTACTATCTATAGTGTACTTGAATATGAAAAGTGGATCTGTTAGCGTAATCTATGAATAATGTATTAAAATTAAGGAAATGGCTCTTTTAAGGTCGTAAGCAAATTCACATAAAATGAGTACTTATTTCCTATGTCACTTTCGTCACAAAGTCACGTAATAAAACAGGAGAGTCAAAATTAATATTTCTAGATCTGAAGTGCAAAGATTCTTTGCTTAAAAAAATTTCCTTTTCATTTTCCTTCCATATTTGATGAGGGGGGTTTTCCTTCCTTGTAAGTCGCATTAAATCATTAGGCAAGCATGGCACCACTTTTATTTGATCCTTTTGGGATATATTTTTTTGTACACATATAGAAGTCAATGTTTTCCTTGTTGAGCATCCTGTGGTGGATCATTATTACTAAGTTGCATTTCATAACTCTCGTGACTAATAGACCTTAGGCTCCTTAACTTTGGGTAAAGGCTTACTCTGCTGCATATCAAACACTACTTCTAGAGTACATTCATCTTCTTTCATTATTTGGTAAAGTTTCTGAGCTCACAATCTATGAAGTCAGTGTTCTGTCTTACGATTCTTCTTCTTTTTCATTATCGATTTTGTCAATTAGTGTTTTCCTAGATGTGCAGAAACAACATACATCAGATTTAGGAGTACCAATTCCCATGTTTAATTTGTCATGAATTGGAGTAGTTTTTGTTGTATAAACAAATTAATCCTGAGTTGTTTTGTTCTTCTTTCATCAGATAAATTTCCTTACATTAAAATTAAACTACAGTTATAAACTTTTAATACAATTTTCTACGCTCTGTGTGATGAGTACAAATTTAAACCTCCTCGTGTTTCCTTATGCATCACACTTTGACCAGTGTTCAGAAACTTCCTCAGACTCTTGATCTTGTCTACTGTGATGCTAGATAGTGATAGACGGACTGCAAACAGATAGAAGCCGGTATTCCCTTTTGTTTTTGAATACTGTACTCTATTACTGCATGATCTCTTTGGAATTTGGTTCGTTAGACAGTATTGTTGTTTTTTCTTAATTCTTATGAACCATAAGAAGTTGTCCTGATCAATCTTTAATTCACTTGCTTACAATTTAGTTTCAGTGAACAAGTATCTACCATTTCTAGGAGATCTTTTATTCTTGACCCAACTCTTCATCTCTTGTTCATTTCCTTCCCTTTTTCCCTTTAAATCTCTATCTCTCATTCTACATCAGCACACAAAGCAAAACTATTATTTTATAAAGCACTTTGCAAATATACATATAAACCCAAACTTCTTGACCCCACAAGCTTTTAAGCATCAACAAAACTGTATTTATTACAAAGTTCTCAGAGTTATTAAATTCTGGGAAGAAATCAAAAGTGGATTCTAATTGAAATTGCTCCAAAATACTGATCAAACTCAGTGAAATTTCAGAAAGTGAATGGGACTTGTGAGGATTGAAATTAATGTTTTAAAATTATATAATTTTCCTTATTTAATGTAAACAAGACAAAAGAATTTTGGATCTTTCGTAAGCACATTTAATAAAATTCTTGTTAATGATACACTTTGTTCTGATATATAAATTGAAAAATGCAAAATCTGACCAGAGAATTTTGGAATAAAGATCCTCAAATATTAGTAAGTTTTTGACCTCAGTCTTCAAAAACAAAACAAAAAAAATCCATTTAAATACTTGATAAGCAAATACAATGTATTTTTTGTATGCTGTCACCTCAATGTTTCTGCAATAAATAAAAATTAACACAAATAAAAAAAGTCAAATTTTGTAAATTGAATGCTTTTTCATTTCTGTGTTAATTTTTCGTAGTAAACAAATAAATTCATTCATTTTGTAAATTCACAATTTATGTTTCTACAATGAAAATTTTTGAATAAAATTAATTTTTTCAAACCAACTTTTGAGTGCTTATTGCTGCTCAGCTATTCGGAATATTCAAGGTATTTATTTGACCAAATATGCTTAAAATTGTCTTATGAGCGTATGTTCAAAATTTCAATGTTTCCTCTCTTAATACCCTGCATGTACATTAAGTTATGTACTATGGGATTTCTTGTTCCACTGGTGATGTCAAACTGCTTGGAAGAAGATGTAACATTGTAAATGCTAAAAAAACAAAACATATTTTTTCTTGTACTGCTTATCAAGATCACCACGAAGTTACTGTTTCATTTTCAACATGTTATTTCTGTTGAAGGATTGTGAACATGAGGGCTGACAGGTGTTTCCAGGGAAGTAACCTAGAGAGGATGTTCTTATGATAGAATTTGTTTATATTTATTATTATTCTTTTATTATCAACATCAACCCCATTGTAATAAAATGAAAAGAAAACTGAGATGTAATTCAATTAAGATTAATGTTCTATCAAAGCAGATCAGTGTACAGTAAATTCAAGAGTTCAGCATCTGTTTCATAAGTCAGAAGTATATACCCCCTCGGATCCCCATATCCTGTGAGTGTAAGCATTGAAATGTTTATTGAACAATTGCATTTCAGACGCGCTGCTTCAAGTGGCAGTTTGGATGGAACTTGTGCCGTTATAAATAATGCAGGTGCCTTGCTTGAAGAAGAACTATGCAGTGCGCTTCGTGCCAGACTTCGTCAAGGCTATCCATCAGGATACCTTGATTTAACTCAAGCATATAACAGCGTACTGGCTGGGCGCCTGCAGCCCACTGATTCTGAGCAACAGCGAGTGCTATTCTTGGCTGCACTGAACAACGCAGATTCAGCCTCAGAATATGTGGAGACCTTAGTTAAACAGGTTTCTGATGAAATACCAGTCTCCACACCAATGGAGCGGAGTAAGCTCGATAGCTGTCTCCACGGACTGAGCAGTTCCACTTCCGGGATAAAATCTGTTTTGGATTATGGCATTCAACAGCTGAGGGCTTCAGCTGTAAAGCCACGAGTTGGTCCGTGGGTTGATTCGTTTCAGTCTGTCAGTCATCAGCTCTCTGAGGTATATCACACAGGAAACTTGTACACTTATTGTCACATGATTACCTAAGTAAATAAATTTATGTACATTACAGGACGAATTTACAGCTTATGAAGCTGACCAACCTTTTGTTCAAACTTTAGTGAGAAATTTGCATGGATTATTGGAGAACTTTAAAGAAAGTCTTACTCCTGGAAACTATGATACATTAGTCACCATTCTGACGGAAGAAGTCACCATTCACTTAGAAAAGGCTGTCTTCAAGACTTCTTTTAATAGGGTACGTGAATGCTTTTTTTCTGTCATGGCCACTCAGGAAGGAAAATGCAATTTACTGGAGCAGTAATATGAAGATATTAATAATTGAATTTTTTTAAAGTAATATTTATTTATTGTTAATTATATAATTACTGTATGGATATAAGTCCAATACAGAAATGTTTTATACAGTAGTAGGAGATAGTTTCAGTACGGGAGAAATATAAATAAAGAAGTTTAAATATTCATATTGTAGTGAACTGACCATTCAACCACGTTAGTCCACCAATTTTATGTTGTGACCTGGCGTCATACTTAATATTGTAAATAAACAAATTTATATATTCGTATTGTAGTGAACTGGCGGTTCAATCACATTAGTCCACCAATTTTATGCAGTGACCTGGCATTGTACATAATATTGTTATAAAAGGAAACACAATGTGTCAATTTTGTGTATTGACCCAGCATTATACATAACAATTTTTAAAAGGGCAGAGGCATAATACAAAATATATTGGGTATACATTAAGGGTGGGTTGGACATGTATGATGTTAGCCTTGCCCGAAATAATGCTGACTTGAGAGATCTCAGGAACGGTAGTCCTGGACCGGGGTATGAAGCCAATTCAAAGGTTATTGATTACACACACAACTACATTGCTTCTTGATGGGAGCAACTAAAGATGTATGAATGTGTCGGAAGAGTTGTGAGCACATAATTTGTATGGACTAAAATATGCTAGGGCCAAGTGACACGCAGGTTGATGGGGGAAACTTTGAAACTTCTTTGAAGATGACCCTGAGATGTCAATTTCTTCAAGTTTGACTATAATAATGCAACTAGTCATCAGGATGGCACAGACATAACTTGCTGTAAAGTTCCCTGACCTTTCATTTCTCCCTACCCCTTGCAAACTCTTTCACTAGCCCCAACTTCCCAAACGTTATGGTTTCCTGGCTGGACTTTCCAGTTGTGTTGATTGTTCATTTTCAAAGTGTACCTACCATACATAAGAATTACTATATTTACAAGATTGTACATATAATATTAAATTACTAATACAATATTTAAAAAAGGAGAGTAAGGAAGATAGTAAGAAAATAGTCTAAGTAAATGAGTGGTGTGGAAAACTGAGTTGCTCAAAGGCCTGCAATATTAAATTCTTTTAATATAATAATAATACACTTCAATGAAGAGTCTGAAATTGAGAAGTTATCAAAATTTACAAATGCAATATTCTTTTATCTCATTCTACTGATGTATGTAGGAAGTAGTTTTAAGCTTGTTTCATTCTTTATGATCCCACATACAAATCACACTTGCAAATAATTCTGTGTTAAAGTGATACTTTTAGTGTGTCTATCTGAAATAAACTAATTTTGTTTGTAATGCATTAGAATTCTTGAAGAACAAAGCCGTTTTAAATTTGGAAAATTATTTTACTAGTGAGTAAACTAATGTATATTCTTAACATCTTTTCTTCTACATTTTGCAGCTAGGAGGTCTTGTCCTTGACAAAGAAGTCCGTGCATTGGCTAGCTTTTTAACCAGTTCAACTTCATGGTCTGTGCGAGACAAATTTGCACGTTTAACCCAGATGGCCACCCTTCTCAACTTGGAGAAAGTTACTGAAATTTCTGATTATTGGGGATCTTCAACAGGCCCACTTACATGGAGACTGACACCGTCAGAAATACGTCAAGTCCTGGCATTGCGGTAAGAAATTAATCCTGTAATTTACAACAACAACAACAAAAAATGTAATCTGGCTATTGTTTCATTTTGCAGGGTTGATTTTCGAAGTGATGATATAAAGAGACTGAAATTGTAACCAGGAAATATTATATTTTGTACCAAAGTTAACCTCTATCAGAATTCCAGAAGGTACTATTGTGATAAGAAATCTGTACAATGAAATTTGAAACTTCAATGTTATTTAATAAACTAAGAAAACAGAAAAAGGTTTCTATTAAATAAATACAAAATCAATACATTACATAATTCATTTATGTATGATTTGTTTAACAAAACTATTCAGTCCGTCAAAATGTCGGAACTGAATACAGACTTGTATTTATACAATCCGTTGCATAAAATAACAGGAAAGCACAGGTACTGACTGGTAAATTCACTGAACATTAATGCTTAAAACATTTCAGGCAAAAAAAAAAAAAAAAAAACAATATAAAAATCAAATTTTATACCTTGAATATCAAGTACATGTATTAAGTTCAGAATAGAGCATTGTTTTGCAAAATTATATTGAATCATTCATGACATTATACAGCCAGTTGAATGTATCTATAAAATCTGACACATTCATGAAACACGTTTACTCAGAAATGAGACTATATATGTGAGTATTTTTCAGAAATGTGTCTATCCTCGACACATTTCAGGAAGCATTAGATGCCTTGAAATTCTGAGGGGAGGGTATGTAACTAATTCACTTTGAGGTAATTTACTATAGGCTACATAAATGAAATGAATTACTGTTATATAACACCAAGTATTATTGAAGTAAATAATATTAATGAAGGTTTGTAGACACAGTTTCAAAGTAACTTTTATGGCCGTAGGCCAAAAATTAAAAGGTATCAAAGTAATGTTTGTAGATTTTCAACAAAAATCTCGAGTATGACACATGTGAAGAGATAAATTAAGTGAATGATTGAGGACTCCCACATTTTTTTTTAAAAAAACATTAATAAAAAGGCAAAATATATTATTACAATTTCAATAAAGTGGTTTATACAGAGTAAACTAAAACAATATAGATTTGGAAGCATCTAAGAAGCTCAGTGAAGATAAATAAAATTTTAATAAATAAATGAACAGATGTGTGGGAATAGTAGTCTTCACAATTCATCCTGGAAGACATGAATATTATGCAAATGATCACCATAGTCTGTGGCCTCACTTCCAACAAATGTCTGATGATGGTCGAGAATTTCCTGAAAGCTCAGGACACCATCTTCATTGTCGTCCGAGGAAGCAAACAAATGACTCACTTCCTCTTCAGCGATTTCACTGAAAAGAAAAAGTTCATTAATGTTCCCAGATTTTGTTCCCTCCTCTCTATTAAGTGTTGTTTACTTACTCATTGCTGGGCACAATCCAGGACAGTATTTCAGGACCGTTCAAGCGACCATCCCCATCTTTGTCATATTCATGATCAAATTTTTCTTTCTCAGAAATGAGCCACTCTTTATCATGCTTCTTACCTATAAAAAACATTGCTTCAAGTAAAAATCTAGAAAATGAAGTGTAAGTGTAAAAACTGAAAATAATAACGCAAGTATTGTATTGTCATCAGTAATCAATTTCCCTAAGAAGGCAAGCTTGAAAAATGTGGCAAATCTCTGGAGAGCTTACTGTGCAATAACCTATTCCAACAAAATGAAAAGTTGATAGCACAATTGGTTTTGAACACAAAATCATTATGAAGTACAGACCTTGACCTATTTGATCTGCAACCTTTACCAAATATAAGAAGTTGAAATGATCATGGACTGTGATGATCGCTTTTAAGTATTGTTTCCAAATCTGTTTGCTTCCTCAAATGCTCCTTGAAATATGTACACTTGAAATCTTAAATATTACTACTGGGCTACACTAGTTTTAATTTTGTTAAATTAACCGATTAATAACTCCATTCTTTGTCATTTCAATTAATACTTAGGTAGATCAGTATATCTATATTAGATATCTTTTTTTCCCATCTAAAAGGGATATAAAATGATTTTTTTACGCCAATCGCACTTGTGGAAATAAGTAATATTTAATATATTAAATAATATATCAAAGCTATAACTAATTTATATAAGAATCCGTATTAATTTTGGAAACAATATTCAAAAGCAGTTTTGCATTTGGCAACGCAAGATGTTGGTATTATGACAACACATGAACGGGCAGGGAGAATGGACAGTGAGGAAGGGCGAGCGCTAAGGGCGTCTGTTGAGGCTGTGCTGACCCTAATTGGTGAGCAGGGAGGACAGAGTATACCATAAAATGTCCTTTCTGAATGTCTTTTGCAAAGAAAACATTCATTTATAATGCTGATATATCCCCCCTACCCCACAAGTATTTTTGCTTAAATGAAAGTAAAGGTCAATCTTTTATTAATGTCACATTCCACAATCTGTGTATTTTGAAAAAGTGATTTAAATTAATTTCTATGGGATTCAAAAATATATAAAAATTAACTGTAGATTTAATACTTCACCTTGATCACCAATAAATTCTTGGAAACTAATGAATCCATCTTTATCCGTGTCCTTATCAGTTAGTGTTTGCTGCAACACTAAAGGTAGCATTTCAGGATGTTCCTCAGGGTGAGTGAAAAGAACAAATTCACTGTTGTCAAGCACCCCGTCCTTGTTCCGATCTGCTGCTTCAAACATAATTTTATCATCTTGAATCAGCTGCAATAGAAAAAGAGGTTCATACAATGCTTGTAGAGATACATTTTAATTTTTTGACTGAGTCTACCTCAATGTTCGCTTACCAACATAACATGTCCCAGGTATTAATCCCAGCAGCTCAGTATCATCCTCCCTTAACATGCTCCACCACATTACAAAACCTAGTACTATGAATATAAATTACAGCCTTGAAGTTTGTAACTTAGAAAAAGCTCACTCCAATGGAATTATATTGATTTAAGGAATATTTCTTGGAACTGTATTTTCAATGAACCGATAAAGTAGATCATACAATTTTTAGTTAAGAAATTGTGTGATCTACTTTACATCTCTTCAGAAAATATTGTCTCCAAGAAACAAATAAAGTTTTAATTAGCAATATGGTATAGTAGTAAATTAATTGGAATAATGAAATAATACAATAAAGACCACTGTATAAAAAAAATGTCTATACATGTTTGTATATATGGTCTATAATTGTGATACAATTTATAAAATTGTAACTTTGCCAAACTGACTTGTTACTTTGTAAGATATATGTACAACAGGATATTGCTGCTACATTAATAAATTTTGGGCAACTCAAAGCAAAATGAATAGTTAATGTTATAGAGATTTATGTGATAGTCTTTGAAAGGTTTTCAATGTATTTACTGACACTAAAACCTTCTGGAACAATGTTTAACACATCAGAAAAAAATTGCCAAGATTGCCAAGTGGGCTTCAATTTGGGAACGAAACAGCAAAAACTGTACAGAGGCAGTTATTGTGTGATCAAACTTTTTTTGAATCTGAATTGTGACGAACTATTCCAGTTTCCGAGGTGCAGTGCCGCTCAACACGTCGACACTATTAATCAATGTTATTTAGAATATCTTCCAAATAGGAAGGGCCCCGAAAAATCTGGAGTGTCATACATCGATGAGAAGGTGTCAAAGTAATTATGATTCGCCACACGTGGCAGCCATCACCGAAGAAAGTTTCACGGTTAGTGCACGCGAGCTCCAGTAAACAGAAATCAACTCTCCGCGTTGGCCGACCGTCGCCCTCTGCGGGCACCTGTGAACGCCGCGCCGGTGCTTACGAAATAACGGCGCCACGCACAGCAGCTGCCAATGAAGGCCGCTCCGGCCACGGACTGCGCTAGACCACGGGCGTCCAACTTGCGACGCCTCAAGGGACACAACTGAAACCTTTAATATGGTGGAGGGCCATATTTTCATTACTCAGGCGAAACCCACCTGAGTGGGTTCCCCGTAATATGGATCTCGGCACTTGTCCGGCTGCTCTGACCATGCTTAATAATACCGTATACCATACCGTGCCATGCATAACGCAGTGTATCATCTTGGGATGACTTTTAATTTCTGAATTGAATAGAAAAAATCCTTAAATCCGAACTTCCTATTCCGCCCCAACGCGCCCTCTTCTCGACGACAGACAGCCGGTCCACAAGTTCCACAAATAGTAAGTAAACGAGAGAAAGTGCAAGGTGAGTGTTTCTAAAAGAATTCAATGTTAGCGAGAAAAGAAATCAAGATTCAAAGAAACTTTCATGAACTCATTCATTACTTAACGAAAATAAAACAGATCAGAATTGTAATGCATACTTATTTAAATTCTATGTAAAGTAATTGACGAAGGCTATATTCCCGTTTGAGCACCTTTAAATTTTCAAGGTTTTTTTTTTTTAATACCTCAATAACAGAAGGGGAATCCCTTCAGGAACCACATGTTTGAAGCAGCGTAATTTACTTTTATTTATTAACAAACAAAGACACCTTAATACTATTTATCAACATCTTGCTGGACTAACTAACTAAAAGAAATTCCACCCTAAGGATTTTCCTTTCTCTGCCACCGAGAAGAGACCACGGTCTCCAACACTTAGAGATCGGTCGAGTGCAGGTGAGTCCGCGAGTCATTTCGCCATCATCCCTCACTCGGCCTGGCGCCCAACTCCCAGGCAGTACGTCCACCGCATGGGGGCGTTACAGTATAGAGTTCATAAAGTCTGGTCTCACAATTTAAAAAAATGTACAGCGAACTAAGTCTCCGCAAAACCCTTGGGTATCAACACACCGCCGCCAGCGGTTTTTACATTGGACATTGCATCCTGGATCCCTTTATGCACAAAGATATCAAGGGACCTCGTCCAAGGTGCCTGTGCCGCTGGAATCGTGACGAAACGATTCTCTTTCAGGTATGTCGCGTTTCTGGGGAACAAAAAGAAGTCACCGGTAGCTAAGTCGGGGCTACGACAGCGCTGTCTTGCTGAACTTCACCAAAACTTTGCCCGCAGCGAGGGACGTGTGAGAGGGCGCACTGTCAAGGCAAATAAACCAATCGGGCGGATCGATCCTTCAATCGGCGAAGCACTCCAGCGTAAATTCCAGCTCATCTGCAAGTAATCTAACATTACGACGACGGGCAGTGTTCTAGTATTCACGCACATTCTCCAAATTTTCAACGGTTCGGCCTGCTGAAATTTCCCAGCAAGGTGACCATCAATGAACCTCAACTTATCAAGTTACAAAATACCCCGCCCCTCATTACGTGCCAAATTTCTAAAATTATTAATTTCAGCATTGCTATCTGAAATTCTGTATAGAAGTAGAACACTTTAAGAGAAATTCACACTTGCACCACATTAAAAACCATTGCACGTAACACGGTTTCTTTACAGGCCACTTGAATCATACCAAAAACCTCTGTAGCGGCTTTGTTCAGAACTTGATCGAATAACCCTGCATTTTTGACTTTCCCGAGTTTTCGAAAAGGGTCACTGGCAGCACTCACGCCATTTGCGATCCGCTCACTGCTGACCTTATTATTCTAGGGTTTTCATTTCTTGGTGCGCGAGGCCTTGTCTTCAAGATGGAATATCTCACGGCAGTTCGCGTCTTTCTCAATCGTGCCGTTACATGTCGCATGATGATCAGCACTGCTCGATACGGTCGCGATCATGCGATGTCTAGCGGTAACACCGAGACACCAAGAAATAAAACCCTAGTATAATAAGGTCAGCAGTGAGCGGATCGCAAATGGCAGACATTTACGCTGCAAGAAATAAAAACCCAAGCGTACTTTATTCTGTCGGAGGAAGCAGACTGCGCGCTCTCCCCAACTTGTTATGAACCTTTGTAAACGCACCTTATATTTGCATAGTGCAAGAAATGTGAATCTCAGTTGTGATGCAGACTCCACTACAGAAAACTAGACATTACTGAACTTCGATATTTCTTATCAATGAAATCTGATAAATGGAATTCTATAAACGAATAAAAAGGTCCTGTCCAGCATATGTTCAAGACACCTGCTCATACATTATGCATGCCACTTTGACAAACTTACAACGAATCAATTGCAGAAGGAAAATTCCCAGCTTTATAGTCAATTATACAACCACATTAAAAATCATGTAGAAAAACGGATGTATATTACAACATGAACAGAAAACGAAATATCTGAATGTTGTAGTGATACAAGTGAATAAAATTACGTGAAAAAATGTTTGGCACTTATCATTGTGGTTGTTCGTAATTTAACATAAGGGATTGAACAACAAATAAACATGAACAGAAAAACAGATGTAAGAATTATATGATCCAATGATTTCTCTTTACCAGAAGCATTAGTAATTTTTGAATTGGCCATTCAATGAAAAGTACTGAAGAGCAATCAAAATTAATTTGAAAGTACTGGACAAAACAGACTTAAGAGAAGCACACGTACTGAGCAGTAATGCCAATGTTAAGGACGTTATGGTATTGCGCAAATTATCAACGTATTTTCACACTATTAAGACCCGGAAGTTTGGGCTATTAGTAGCAGTCACTGTAAAATTCTCATGAAAAAAATATGTCTACAATTTTACACTTCTTCAATTTAGCTCATGGTAACTCTGTAAAAAAGAAAGGATACTCTGGAATGGATACCGTATAGAAGAACTGAAGAGAAGAATAATGCAAGGAAATGTAGCAGAAAGAAAATTACACAAATTCATAAAAGATGCAGTATAGATTCACTTAAGACCAAAATCCAGCTAATTGAGAAAATAATATTTCAATCATGTTGAATGAGCGTGAAAGTTAGATCTTAAAAAAAGAGAGAAAAAAGTTCGATGGTTCTGAAATGTGAGCATAGAAGAAAATATTGAACATAAAATGGTAAGACAAATATACTAATGCAGAAAGTTAAAAAACAAAATTAACCAAGAACTTTCTCTAGAAGCCAAAGCCACTGAATTAGAACTACAATATTTTTGACATCCTATTAAGCAAACAGAATCCCTAGAAAAGGATACAATGTCAATGGCGCCCATCTGGAACAGGTTTTTGTCCAGTTTCCCTGATACATAGAGCAAATGCTCAAAAATGGCCCCTTGTTTAACACCTGAACGTAAATGTAGCTACACTATGCATATGTTTTGTTTAACTCTCCTTTTGATTGTAGTAGAAGAATTAGAGGTAAGGGTGAGTTACTGTTTGTTAGCAATGCAGAAAAATCATATCTGCAATTCATTTACTGTTGCAAGTAAGTTTTCTGTAACTCAGGAACAAAAATGTCTAGTTTTTCAAATCTTTTTAATCTTGCATGTTTTTTATAATTTATTTTTTTAAATTTTTCTTTAACTTTTACTCATCTTTCAACTATTTATAGTTAAAATGATGGGAAGGGATTCTGGAACTCAAGAAAATGTGTGCAGATGATCTTTTCCCCCATATGTCACATACAGATTTTACTGTTTTTTGACTAAATAAATCTGAATAGTAGAAGGAAGCATGACAAGGGGAAGAAAAGATGTAGGTGGTAAAATGAAATAATCACAACTACCAATCTCACAGGACCTTACAATTAAGTGCGTTCTAGTCCGAAAACAGAGAAGAAAACTAAATTACATACAAAAGGAAGAGGTAGATGAAGTCTGAGTGAGCAATGAACAAATGGCTGGCATCCTACTTAGTGGTGAAATGTTCAGGCCCGCAACATGACAGGGCCTGTTTATAGGGGAAATTTTTATTTCTTAAAGTACTAACACTACTTGTGATAGCTTTACACTTTTATAAAGGGGGTCCAAATAAACGTATCTTGCTCTAACCACCTTAAAAGGCGAAAGGAAAATTCTAAAATACTATGTCATCAGAACATTTGAGAGATTGCTGTTGTTAAAAGTCTTACAATCATAATAATAAGAAGGCATTTTACCAAACTTTCAGGCTCAAATTATCACCAACAAATGAATATAGAAAAATACAAGCACATAACCAGTAATCTATTTAACAAATATTTTTATCATAAATAATAACATTCAAAACACACTTCTAAAATAAATGAATGTGTTCAACAATACCCACTTTGCTATTATCAGATCTAACGTCAAGATTCTCCTCATCTTCATCTTCTTCTATTACTTGACCATTTTCATCCTGGAGTCCATAGGAATCTGATAAATATTCTTTCCAAGTCACTTTGCCATCCTCATTCTCATCAGCGTCTTCAAATCGATCTTGAGATTCTTCTTCTGACAGCATCCTATGCAAATGGTAAAAGGTTGGTTAAACTGAACTTCAGTGAGGTCATTTGACCTATGAACATAGTGAACAGTCAAATGTATTCAACCCAATATTATCAATATAAAACGTCCCAAAACCAACTTGAATGACCGCAGAATCCATGCGTGTAACTCATTTCTTTCAATTAATTCATCACTATTTAAATCCATCTTCAGTAGGAGAATTCTTAGTCGTTTTTTAGCTTCTTCTGGTTCTAATTGATCAAATTCTTCTGCATCTTTTACACTTCCTGTCAATAAAGTGTAGGAATTAAATCAAAATTAACTACTTATAAAAAAAACTACTTAATAGTACAAAAGAATTGGCATTCAGAGGCATGCAACACTACCTAATATTGCCTCGTGATCAAACTCTGAATGATGTCCACCATCATCATCGTAATGATGACTATTTCTAGGGCTAAAACCACCATCTTCTTCCCTTTCACTACCGTGATGATGCTGTGTATGAAGATGTGACGCCGGGGTCGAATGACAAGAAACAAACGACGTGATGAACACCAAAAGAAGTAATCCTCGAGTTTTCGAAGACATTATAGAAAATAAAATTTCTCAGTACAAACTTTTCGCAAATTCAAACTAATCACTTCACATCCCAAAATTTCATTCACAAAGTATGGTGCTCTGATCATTTCCTCCGAGACAGTAAAACCTTCATTATTATTTTCAAATCCATATTTTTGTGTAAAAAAATCAGCCTCAATTCGTGAAACCGTTCTTTACAAACACTAAATTTTTGAGGGAATTGTATGCAGTGAACTTTTCATCGGACGAACGTATGGTTAAGTTGAGGTCAGGGCCGCTTCACTCGATGTTAAAAGGCAGGCGGGGAACTAAGTTTGTTTCCTCAGTCACATACCTGGCGCAGATAGCGCAGCTATTGCGTTTTGGCGCGCATTTTCAAAGAAAAAGTTTTGCGAAATTCTGGTTGTGCTGCGTATAGGGAATGTCCATGAGTATTATCTGCTTTTCTTATGATTTACTACAAAGAATTAATTGTATTATTTGCAGAAGATGGGTAAATGTGGTCAACCTCTTGGATTCCCTTTCCTAAGCTTCCCAAAAATTAACAGATGTGTGAACAATGGTTGAAAAACATAAATTGCCAAGATTTAATTGGTAAATTATGTATGAAATATTATACAAGGTAATAAAACTGCATGTACTAATAAAATTAATCAAATATGCATACTTTGATAGAATTGGTGAGACAGAACCTCACTTCTATAGAAGAATTTTTTTAATAGTAGAAAATTTACATTCTGCCGCATAAATGGGGATCTGTAGACCATTAAATAATTTCTTGGTTACATATAACAATTTTTAATGAATATTTTTTACGTGAATACATAGATAAAAAGGGGAAATGTTATAAATTTCTCATTATTTCGTAAATTCAAAATAGTAATAGCAAACAAAAATGAAAAATTGGTCGTTTTCTAACTGTTGGAATGTTGATACCTGTTCAATTATTTGATATCAATTTGCTTAAATTAAAATCTTCAATTATCTTACATCCTGACCTTGGAACACAATCATTTTGGATTTCTTCATGAATTGTACCCACAGAGAAACAACGAAAAAGACAACAAAACAACAAAGAAAGTTGAATAGACTCTAGCGAGGGATGGAATTTATTAAGAGACAAGGAAGATTCCTAAAGGCTCCTCCAAAACACAAACCATTGGGACAGAGTGATAAAGGAAACAGATAGAAATACAGGAAACTTGTAGAATATTAATATTATTCTTGTGATACTTGTCAACTTGAACAGGAATATGTCTCTTACCCTGCTGTTGATGATGATGAATTTTAATGCTGATTTTGATTTTGTGAATATTAATTTATTGAAATGTTCATAGATAAAATGGTGTATCGTTGTTGTGTTTATGTCTACTGTAATTATAAAATGTTGAAAATGAGCATTATACAAAACTAACAGTAGAATTTAAATCATGATGAACAAATAAGCAAAACTGCAATTACTTGACTCAGTGTTTAGTGAATGAGTTTTTACTCATTGATGAAATGATTTTAATTTAATTAATGGAAAATAAGACTTTAAAAATTAAAAATATTTATAAATTGATTGTCTTATAATGAATGTATTGGAACACATTCAAATAAACATTGACTCAAGATAACGTTAATTGATTAAATGATATACATATATATTATCATCCAAGTTCATTAGCAAATAACTACTACAAATTGCTTATTGTTCATTTCATAAGAATATTAATTTTAATGTATATTACATTGTATTTTTTCTCGAAATCGTTCAATTATGTAAAAAAAGTTTATTAAAAATATAATATAGTCGTTATATTGTAACTTTTAGCTCAGTTGGGTCGCTGGTTCATTCCTATAATGAATGGATGGAAGACAAGGGAGGCTATCTATTAAAACATTCATTAATTAGGCAAAAATTATTTTATTCCTGACAACATTAGCTGCCAGGGAAGTTACACGTCGCAAGAGAGCGACAAAGACTACCTACCAACTTTACGCAATGAGCTCATGGATCTAATAGCTAGGAAGAAACATCTTAACACTAACATTGAGGTTTTGTCTACAACAATTCGCGCATTGTTAAGTAATAAAAAAACTGCCTGAGCGCGGCAACGCTGAAACTTTCGGCGGAATATCCAGCGAAGAAACCCCGTGACGTAATCAGGGGAGAGAGTTCATCTTCGGTTCAATACCGGATTATCACCGCTGGTTGTCGGTGCCTCCGCAGACCAGCTGGATGGCTGTCCTCGTCTCGTGATTCACCTTCGCTCTGGCGAGGGTTGGCGTCGTGGTGTGGTGACGGCGGGGCGGTGGTTAGGTCACCGACTCTCCATTCGTCTCCCCGTCTTAGCTGGCGCCATGGAGCGGCTCGGAGTCGTCGAAGGCGGGCAGGCTCAGAGTCAGCTCGAGGACACACGGGCGCCGGACGGGCGTAATGCGGGCTTGAATGGGCCCGAGACGGCACTATGCGGCGAACGCAAATTGATGCGTAGTCTGTGCGGGTCTTTGGTTCGGTTAAAAAACCGCACTCGGTGGCAAGGTTCAGCCCTACGAGCCGAAATTAATAATGTTCCTCACTCCACCGAGTCTTAGCTAAGAGCCACCTCTTTTCTCCTCCAATTTCTCCCTAATAATGTTTTCTCTACTCAGCTCCCGGCCGAGCTCGCCTCCGTTTCCCCCTCCCGAAAACGTCTCTGGACCCGTAGCTTTGCCCCTTCCATCACGGGGAGATGTCTCATAGGCCAAAACTATTTGCATCGCAATTTTTTGTCACCCAATCGGAACGCACTGTTCCTAGAATTTCCCAGGGCGATCGGTCTCTCTAATTCTAGAAGCATCTCTTGCAGCTGCCCGAACACGGGTTCAGGCGGCTTTGTTTTCGAAAACATAATTCTTCGGCGCCGTGATCGGCAGCCGGCGAATTGTAAACAATACCTCGGAATTTCGGGAAGTGTTGTAGGGAGATTCCTTGGGCGGGCGGGGTCTGCCTCCGAGCCAAGACGCAGGCGGTCATTGTTTTGCTAAGTGCGCGGGGGCTCCCCGAAGGGGGTGGGGAAGGTCTTCCCTGCGGGTCGGCAGCCGCCGAAGGGGCGTGCGACGGGCGAGCGACGAGCGGGCGGCTTGGCGTAAAGAAGTCTGCCGCGGACGGCACCCTATTTGGTGGGCGGTCGGAGCAGCTGGCCACGGCGGCGCGGTGCGTTGAAAAGAACTCTTTGTGACAGTCCAGTCTTGCGACCTACTTTCTTTCCGTGGAGAAAAATTATCTTAATATTAAATTAATATAATGAAATTTGGTGACGCCACTATATATACTGTGTAATTGATTTAAGTCTTTATCCGTATAACTTCTTTTTTCAAATATTTTCATATATTGCAAATAATAAATATTAACTTATATCATTGATTTTTTTTAAAATTATCGTTTGATTTAAATCATGATTAAAATCAATAGAATTGTAATTTTGATACAGTATCAATCATTGGTTCAGTGACTATTGCAAGACTTTTGCAAGTCTTTGAAAACCGAGTATTTGTATTTGTATGTATACACAAGTTTTATGTTGGGCAAGTCGATTTGCCTTGAAGTTCGTATATACATACCAGTAAATATGCTTAGTGTTCTAGGATTAAAGAGGGAATTTGCATTGATTACAAAAAAATTTTTATGAAATGAAAATTTGTGGAAGATATAACAATTTCAATTTGGCCTGTTTCCCCAAATTTTTAGGCAATCTTCTTTTGGGTTGGGAATATTCTTAACTTAAAAATAAAATAAACAATTGGCACAGATTTCTTCTGTTTAGGCTGCAATACAAGATTTTTCATTTTCTATAGCTATCTGATTGGTTACTGCACATTATAACTATATTTCCACAAAGTCCACAACTACCCTCATTGAAACCTATAAATGGGCAAAACAATACTGAATTGTTTCGGTTGACGGAATTTTGACAGTATATATAGTAAAATTGGATTAGATTTTTACTCAAATTGTATATGTTTATATAGAAGTTATAATAAAGGCCAAACAAATGTCAAATGATGAGTATATAAAAAAACAAAAAAAACAAAAAACAAAAGCTATGTGAAGTATTGTATAAAAAAAATACCAGCTAATAACAAAACACAAAATATTGAACTAGTCCATAAACACAGAAGAATAACAAACCCTAATGAAACAGCTAGTATATTCAACAAACACTTCTCTGAAATTGCTGGTAAACTACTAAAAACAAGAAATCCAAACACTACACCTCTACAACCATCACCTTTCTTTAAAAACTCGCTTTCTAGCATGTACATCACAGAAACAACAGAAAAGGAAATACTTCAAATTATAAACAAAATGCAAAATAAACAATCTGCTGGGATAGACAACATTCCAGACTTCTTAATAAAAAGATTGCTCCACATATCATCAAACCATTAACATATTTATACAACCAATCACTAACTCATGGCTCCTTCCCAAACTTATTTAAAACTGCTGAAATTAAACCTGTGCACAAAAACGGTAACAAACAAGAAGTAATAAATTATAAGCCAATTTCTCTCTTGTCAGGTTTTTCAAAAATATTAGAAAAACTGTTCATTGAAAGATTAAAAAACTACTTGATACACTGTAACATTATCACTGACTCACAACATGGCGTCAGAGAAAAATCGTTCACCTTTGTAAATGTGGCAACTCATGGCATTAGAGCAAAAAGAAATTCTTTTTGGTCTCTTTCTTGACCTGTCAGAAGCCTTTGACACATTAGATCACACAATTCTATTATCAAAATTAGAATTTAATGGAATATGAGGAATTGCTTACAATTGGATAAAATCATTCCTATCAGCCAGAAAACATATAATAGTATTACCTTACCAAAAGACAACAAAATAAATAGCCATCACTCCGAGCCATGGGATGTAACATATGGGGTCCCGCAAGGATCCACACTAGGCCTGATTTTATTTCTTATACTTGTAAATGACCTGCCATCAATAATGGAAAACAACAAAACCATACTTTTTGCTGATGACACTAATATAATATTCAAAGAACAAACAAAGCTTTGCAAGACAAAGCCAATTCAGCCATCGACAAGGTAGTTCAATGGATCCACCAAAACAAACTAATCCTAAACCAAGACAAAACAATCATAATACCCTTCCACAACTCCCACTCAACACAACAATACTTGCCAAATTTAACATTAGAAGGAAACAGCATCACACAAGCACAGAAACAAAATTTCTCGGAATCACCTTACAATCCAACCTCGAATGGAACTCACACCTAGAAGATATTAATTCAAAATTGAGCAAACTTAATTATGCTCTTAGAATAAGAAGAAACAGCACCATTGAGACAGCATGAACAGTGTACTTTGCAAACGTGCACTCTATTCTCAAATACAGGATAATAATATGGGGCCAAGCCCCAGAGGCTAAACAAACATTCAAAATACAAAAGAGAATAATTCGAACAAAAACAAATACAAAAAGAACAGAGCCTGCAGACCTTATTTCAAAAAACTTAACCTACTTCCACTGCCTTGTATTTTTTTTATGAAGTTATCATGTTTGTAAAGAATAATCTAGTAAACAATGACACACTTTATAAATTCAACTGAAGCTTACACCCCTATAACACAAAGCAAGCTTGTAACCTTCTTTAACCAATGTGTACAAGCACATTATACCAAAAGAGTACATTCTCTTCAGGTATACAATTCTTCAACAAATTACTAATACATCTGAGAAACACGGCAGGCTTGTACAACTTCAAGAAAAAACTCAAACACTTCCTTATAGAAAAACGTTTTTATAGCATTCAGGAATACCTCAATGACTTACATGTGCAATGTGATTTCAGGTGCTGCAGGACGACTAGTGAAGAAATAGGAAAAAATCTGGCCATAACCTGCCTCCTCGTCCCCATTTCAAGATTTAATCAAGGAATATGCTAATACTGTTAAATCATACGTAGCTGTTACCATAATTGTTATCATTTACTGTTAGTATTACCATTATTATTATTTTATAAGAAATGTTATCTATTATATTTATTATTATTATTATTATTATTATTATTATTATTATTATTATTATTGTTGTTGTTGTTGTTGTTGTTGTTGTAAGTAGTAGCAGTAAAATCACTATATTAAGAAAATGATACTTTGAAAAATGAAATGGTATAAATCTTGAAATGTTAAAATATTTTAAATGAAATTAAAGTAAGTCAAATGTTCAACTATTTGCTACTAAAAATAATTATCTCCTATGTAATATCTTAATATATCTGTAACAAGTATTGTAGTATAATCTCTAGGCCAATGACCCCATCTTGATCACATTCCTTGGTCCTTTGAGCAAATGCTGTGATGGCCCCTTGTTTTGCTTCTGGACAATAAAAATAATTGTAACTTCACTTGCTGCTCCCAAGATGTATGTGATTGTACTCTCTCTAAATATATCATATTTGACTCGTCATACATGATTGTAATTGTATATGTGACTCATATTATTATTATTAGTCTTATTTGTTGACATTTTCGTGTCGTATGCTAGGGATATTTTATTAAGTTCATTTGCTGCCATCTGTATATCATCTTCTGATTGCATTGTAGGGATCATCATTTGTATAGAGGATCGTTTGGACCTTTTTTGGTCTAAATTGTATCCCAATTTTCACAGTTTGTTTCCACTTTTTGATCATGTGGTTAGCATAAATGTTAAACAGGCATGGTGACATCCTACACCCGTCTCAGTCCTCTGGTTTTTCTAAGACCCTATATTGTTTCCATTATTTTTTCTTACTTTAATCTGCAAGTGTATACATACTCTGGATTCCTTTTGTTCTCTCTCTAGGTACCTCTTCATCTTCCAGTATTTCCCACATTGTTTCTGTTCATTTTATCATAGGTTTTTACAAAGTTTATAAAGAGGAGGAAAGTTGGAAGATTCACTTCATTTTGTTTGTCCAGGATTGTCTTTACTGTGAAAATAGCATATTTTGTACTTCTACCATTTTGTTCTTCTCCCAGGAATTTTTCACTGTATTTATTTCATCTATTTCTTACGATCTTGGCAAAAAGTGTTGATACTGTAGGTAGGAGAGTGATCCCTTGTATAGTTGTTATCTGTTTTTGATCCTTTCTTGAGTAAATTTACCACTCTCTGCCATTTTCTTGGAAGTGAATACTCTTCAAGTTTTGTTCCTAGTAGGTAGTGATCTGTATCTGGTTCTTTTTCCTTTGAAAATTTTGTACTCCTTACCTTACTGAATAATTCTTCATTCACTATTGTACATTGAATGATTTAGTTCCCCTTGCTTCCCATGTATATTTGTTTTTCTTTATGTTTAAAAAAATGAATTTGTTATTCTTAGATTGTTGAAGACACACAAATCAGTTTACCATTGTTATTTCCCCCTCTGCTCCTATAATTTTGCCAATCATCTCATTATCATATGGTTTGAGTATGTAGGTTTCCTGCTATGATAAGATATCCATTTTTTGTGATGTTCGTTTACTGTCAGAAATCATTCTGGGATAAATGCTAATTTCCTTGTCTATAATACATACATTTTCAAAATCAAATCAGCTAAAATTACAATATTTAAGCCGAGATACCTATGGATTAATCATTTTGGTTCTATGTATTCAACATTTGTTAAAAATTGATTATGTTAAGCGAGACATATCTTTTTACAATAATTGTAGATTTCAGATGCCTGTTAAACTCTGTTATTAAGGATGGATGTCCCAGGAACATGTTTACATTAAAATCAGCATCTATCTATAGCAAACCTGACACCATCATTCTTTAAACATGCTACATACAGTAACAGATACATTTTACAATTTAATTGGAGAAATAAGCTTATATTTTATTTGTTACTCTGAAATGTAATGACATGTTTGCAGACTTATGCAAAATACATTTTTGGGCAGCAATGATTCCTAGAAATTACAAGTTCAGGTCCTTATCTGGGGTATCAGAGGTATTTTCAATTGGGAGTGAATGGGCAGGAGAGCATAGTGAGAACATAAAGGTAACAGATGAGATGATAAAAAAAAAAAAAAGAGGCAAACAGTATACAAATTTTTATTTGTTATATCCAATATACCTAAAATTTATATAAAAAATATAAATAATTCAATATAATAAAAAGCCCCCCAAAAATTGATTTCATAATAAATTTTAATAGTTTCAGCGAAAGCTTTACTATTTCTAAGTTTATTGATAAAATCAGTAAATAACTTACCTCCATAAATGTCCTATAATTTTATCAGTAAGAACTATTAAGATAAAATTTTATTAGGACAAAACAATGGTTTTTCTTTTTCCCACATGGTGGCATTCCTATACTTCTAAGATCCAGACTTCCAACATGCGTAATCTTGGGGAAAATCAGGTAAAATAAGGGTCCATTGGATTTATTTTTCTTTTCTTTCAAGAAACAATTTATTATATTTTACAAATGTTTTCATAATACTGTATAGCAAGGGGCCAGTTATGAATAATGTTTTCTAACCACAGTGGTATTTTATATCAAAATAAATTTGGCTTTGTGCAAGTACACATTCTTGAAATGACATAGAAAATGACTAGCACAATTTCATGTTGATGAAAAATCTTTTATACATGTTCAACGTGAAAAATAGAATATAGCACAGACAACAACCATGTTATATACCAGTTCAAAGCACATTGACAAGTGTTGGAAGAAGAAAAATTTCAATTTAAAATTTGGTGAAAGTCAGGAAGGTCTGCTGCACTAGCTCTTAAGATAATTTCGCTTTCTAGAATATTTACAACAATTATGTGTGATTAACTCCACCTTCATCATCAGTTTCTGTAGGAGAAACACGAATAGCTTGATACCATTGATTGGTTAAATCTGTCATCTGGCTTTTGCAGTCTTTCAATTCCTGTTTGAAAATAAATCACTTTTAGCCATGGACAACTAAAATGTATTAACTGCAAAATAGAACCAACACAAACCTATACCTGTTGGGTAAATCTTCTAGTGAAAAATGGGATAAAATATTTTATATCTATTTTGGCAAATCCTTTTATTCTTGACTGAATAAAATTAACTTCCATTTCTTCTTCAGTGAATTCAGAAAGATGTTCGGAATCAATTGCTTGACCCTGAAATTTTTTAAAAATTTATTATGAATAATTATTTCTTAAGAAATCATTGTTTAAACATCAATGATACATTGATTTCTTACCCATTCACGGGTTTTGCTAAGAGTTATTTCCTTTTCACGACGCCTTCTACGACTTCGCTGTTTTCTGTCTGCTTGTAAGAACTAGAAACACTTGTTAGATAAAATTATCAGATATAATTAATATTCAACTATTTGCTAAAAATACAAATACCTTCATTAAGGGCATTGTAGAACCTCCAAACACAAGAGTTGTAAAGAGAACTATTATAAGAGTAGTTGTAACAATCACATGCCGAGTCTCATCACTGAATTGTAAGTGCAAAGAGAGAGCATACGCAATAGCCCCACGTAAACCTACAAATGAATAAAACCACCATAAAATTATTTGTTAAAAAACTGAATTAAATATGTTGACAAAGAAATACTCACCGCTAAACCACATGATGAACATCATTTTTTTTGTAATCTGATGCTCTCGGAAACGATTGCAAAGTACAGCAAGGGGAAAGATATTACAGGCTCGTCCAATTAGACAAAGTGCAATGCTCCATACAACAAGTGCTAATTCTAATCGATGTCGAAAGCTGAACAGTGCAAGACCCAAGTATGCAAATACACATGTTTCAGCAATAAATGCAAGAGTTCTCATTGTTTGCTGCATGGTAATTTGTGTTACAGTTGATAGATTGAAATGTGTATAATGAGACATAACAATTCCACAAAACAAAATTGCCATTATTCCTAAAAAAGACAAAGATTCAGGACACACTTTTTTATTATTATTAAAATAGATTTAGAGAGTAGTATGTACTCACCTGACAGATGAAGCCCTTCAGCTAAAGCATAAGGAGCATATGTAAAAACTAACATCATGCCAAATTCTAAGGATGGATTTCGACGTAAATCTACATGCTTTAATAAGAGGGCACTGACAAGGGCAAAAACAACACCTATTCCTGCTGATGCAAAGAACATCAAAGTGAATCTATTGAATCCCGTAACTACTGCTTCAGATGATGACATAGTTGGATTATTTGATTCTAATATAGAAGTTGTCAAAACAATGGCTACTGCATCATTTAAAATACTTTCACCAAAGACCAACATATTAAGTACAGGATCAACATCCATAGCATGAAATATTGCAACTGTGGCAACTGGATCAACTGCTGATATCAATGAACCAAATGCAAAACTTTCAACAAAACTAAGACGATAAGCAACTTGGGCAAGACCAAGAAGATAGACACCAGCACCAATGACTAAAGCTGAAATTGTTGTCCCAATAATAGCAAACACTAAAATCGAACCAATATTCTGAAAAAAATTACCTTTGTGAAGATTATATCCTGATTCAAATATAATAGGGGGAAGCAACACAAGAAAAAATGCAGTAGGAGAAAATGCCTCTTCCTTCCTCCAGTTAGCAATGTTCTTGTCTATCATCAAATTCAAAATAAAGCCAATAACAGCACCCAAAAATACAATAGCAATACTCTCTGGCAAATACTGAAAATTGGTCTGAATCATAACATGTATCAACAAAATTCCTAATGCAATTACACACAAAACAAAGAATATGGACATAGAGCTATTGTGTTCCTCTTCAGCAGAACCTTTATCAGGCAAAATAGGATCTGCAGAGATAACTGTGGTTGATGAAGCATTTGGAGAGAGGGTTGATACACTAGGTTGCTGACTAGGTGTAACAGACATAGGTGAGAAAGTGCTATTATTCACTTCTGTTGAAGATGTCAAATTCATTTTTACATTATCGTTTTTAGATTCTGTAACTTGGGAAGGAGTTGCATTCGTATCCTCATGAGTGTTGTCTCTTACTTTTCTGGGACTCACGTTTGACGATTGAGCAAAAAGAGATTTTATCTCGTCTAACCCCCAGCTGTCATCGTAATTGGGAGGAGTAGAATGAGTAAGAACATTCTGACAACTCGACAGCATTAATATTCCACACAATACCAAATGCCATTGAAAATTCATTTTGCACCTTGTAGATAATGTACTCAATGTCATGTCGTAAAATCAAGATTATTCATAAAAATAGCGTCAGGCATTTTGCAATCTTACACGACAGTTCAAGTACTACGTAACTTCACTTGCATAATCCTAAATTAGTCAACTGCAATACCAAGTTGGACACACACATTTTTAAATATCAATAGAGAATTCTATAATTCTCTGTATTATAATTACGTCAACATGTTAACTCTTACGACACTTCCCACAAGGGCCAGTAGATGAAAGATACATCCACACCCATTAGACACCCACGACTCACACAGCAGGGTAGGGAAACTTGGCGGTCAAAACGGGGTAATGATTTTTGCGCCATCTACAACAGTTCCGACGTGACCGAACTAAACGTGTGACGTCATGCAATTCAAAAAAGCTGGCAATGTAGGCGGTGTTTGGTTTTTCGTTACGTGCGACTGCAAGCAGGTAGGTGCTCATTTTTATCGAATTTTTTCAGCGTTTTGTTAGTATGTAGAATGTCGTGCATTGTAAGTAAGTAATTATGTCGCGATATTTATTTGTCATGTCTAAAACTTTGTTTTCAGTATTTTGGCAGATGATATTAAGAAACTGGCTGCTAGACAAGTACATTGCTAGGATTTTCACCTCCAGCAGTGGAGGTATTTATAATCATTTTGGAATCTTGTTGTGCATAATTGTAATTGATTATTTAATTTTGAAACATTTTACACCATGCAAAAATAGTCTTAAAAATCCGTAATCCATATAGTATATACCTAACCTGAACATGTCATTTATTCTGTTCTATTGTTTAAAAGTATTGTAGTTATATTATTTCGAATGGTATTGGACACGTTTTGTATATGATTCATTGTTAGTATATCCATATATTCATTGTTTTCAATATCCTGGTATTCAAAATGTCTAATATTTTCAAATATACATAATTCATTTTGTTTGCATTTCTGAATAGGTACACTCTCATTAATGTATGATGAAAATGTATTAAGTTTATTTGCTTAGGTGTACGAGTTACGTTTCCATTCTGGAGGTGAATCTTCGAGTTGCAGTATGGTAACTGGCAAGATACAAACGAATTCGACTTCACTACATTAAGAGTATGGAATTGTATCAACAGTGTTTCCTACAAGCCAGCCCTGGTTTCTTCTCAAAGAACATTTCAAGAAATCTATTACATAGTGGCAGTGAAATCTTTTTTTCCCTTGATGCTGCAAGTGCTGCTAGTCTCGACATTATAGACAAATATATTATTCAGCATATATAATTTCGAATATTAATTGCCTTGTTTAGAAAAACTTTCCTAACAAGCCTGGAAATATATAAATAAATAATCAAAACAATTTTGAATGTGAACAATTAAAAAACTTTCGTTTTTCGAATGTCTAATAAAAAAAACTGTGTGTAATAAATAATATACCCTAAAATCTAACGTTATTTTAAAAATTTAAGATGGGTATTAATACTTTTGGATATTTCACATATTCAGTGCTAAGAAAGGTTAATATATTTATAGATGATTTTTAATTAAATGTAGCCAAATTTGAATTGCTAAATGAAACATCTGAACAATAAACCTGTAATAATATATATAATTATAGTAAAATCTAATCAGATTTTTTCTACTATATACCGTTCAAAATTCTTGTCATTCGTTAACAATTCAGTATTGTTCTGCCCATGTGTAGGTTTCAACTGATGATAGTTTGGCTGTGGGACTTTGTAGAGAAGATAATTGTCATGTGTGCAACCAAAGAAGTATGCTTAGATAAATAAATCTGATTGCTGCTCACAGATAGGTTATCAATTGGCCATCTGATTTTGTTTTAAGAGATTGCCTAAATACTAGCGAGAGTATTGGCCAAGATAATTAATTGATTACTATCTTCCACAAATTTTATTCATTAAGATGTCTTATTTGTGTAACAATGCAATTTCCTCTTTAATCCCAGAACATAAGCATATTTTACCGGAGCTATGTTATTACTAACTACAGACGAATCATACTTGGCAGACAAGTAAATAACACTTGTGATAATGTTATATCTAACGTTTTGTTTCATATTTGATCCTTGGTTTTTGAAAGAACTATACCCCAAAATAACCATGATTGGATATTTAGTATCAATAAATCTACAATATTCTACATTTTCGGCGTATAGTACATCACCAAAAAAGTTAAGGGCTGCGTAATTTATGCACTTTTCAAAGTTCTGTTGTTACGTTTGACATTCAAGTATCAACTTTGTTCACTTTATAATCCATGACGTTAAGTTATTTTTGCATAATATTGCAATATACTAGACTTCATAGAGTATGAAGATACTTTAAATTATCCAATTACATAGTAATACAGCGAATTATATTTAGTCTTCTTTAACTTTTTCACAATTGAATTCGAAGAACTTTCGAGGCAATGAGTATACATAACTACCATCGTAATATACCATTAAAATGCAGCATGCTTATTAACTGAACCAATAAACACTTTTGTAGTAGTTATTTACTAATGGATTGGATGATATATTGGTTTATTCATTAGCATTTCATTGTCTGAGATAATATCAATTTAGGAAACATACACCACACCGAGCGTTTCCACGGAAAAACACGAAAATCTTCAAGCATATTGTAATTCTAATTTGGAGTAAAATGTTTGCTAATGCCACAAAGTATAACTTACTTGAGAGAAGATAAGCTATTTAATTAAAAATTGAATTTACTATTGATTACTCACTAAAAAAAAACTATTAATATATGCTAAACTCACTAATAAACGAATTTATCATTATTTATTTTAATAATGTTAACCTTTCTTGCCTGTTTGTAGTATTGGTATAACTAATACCCTCTTAAGTTGGGAAGGGAGACAGGACAACTATTAAATAGAATTTAATATTCAAAAACTGTCTAATATTGTTGTAAGTTTTTTTTTGTGAAATAAGTTGTTTTTAACAGTAAGAGGATTTTTTTGGAATAAAGAATGTCTTTTTTGACCCGTGCTGACAGGTGTTGTACAAGCTTATTCCATAACGTGAACACATGAGAAGTGATGAAACTATAAGTACTCACATTTAAGATTTTGTGGGTTAGGGCAGTATTGCACCAGACCCCTCAAATGTATAGTATCTATGTGAAAAAAACAACTAAAACAATAAGGAAATGATCAATTTAAAACTTCATGTTTTCACTTTTTTCTGCTTTTAAAGTTATAAGGATAAGTAAATCACTTTACAATTTTGGTTTTAAGTATAAAACATCTAATAAAATATTTAAATCAAGTTAATCTGAATCATAAGAAAAGCAGATAATACTCTTGAATAATCTCTACACGCGCCACAATTAATTCGCACAACCTTACTTTGAAAATGCGCGCCAAAAACGCAACAGCTGCGCTATCTGCACCAGGTCCGGGTGAGTGAGGAAACAAACTTAGTCCCCCGCCTTTTAACATTGAGTGAACGGCCTGTCACACAGCAGCACGAGTTCACCCCGCAGCAGCCACCGGTGAAATCGACTCCCAAAATTGAACCCCACGAGAAATCCGCCATTTGGGTGGCAAGGAAGCGCGGGGTGTTCAAACATTGCCCTTCACTTGGAGAAAATATGAGATGCATGCTCAAAATTTTGCTGATGAGATGCATGCTGAAAATTTGCTGATTATATTTTAGAAAGCTGGTGAATTAATGTAATGAAATGCCTTTCTAGTGTACATTTCAAGAACTCAAAAATTTCCTTCTTTTATTCCAATCTGACCTCTTAACCTACGTAGACGACAATTACTACAGTTTATTAAAAAGTACCCTTATAGAGGAACATTACACTTTACAACAAAACTAGGCAATGATATTAAATACATAAACAACATTCATACATTTAAAAGTAAATTGACAGCTTTCCTGCTTAACAACATGTTCTACAAGTGTAAAGGAATTTTCAAATTACAACATATCCTTAAAAAATATAAATAAAATAAGAATTTCTTATCCCATTAGACTTTCTGTTCATGTAAACTGTTTCGAATGAAGCAAAGAAAAAAAAGAAACTGGCATATCGCATCCTGTGAAATAGAAGGAGAATGACTGACAAAAAAATCTGTTTCTCTCTGGACTATGTGTACAAATTGAAAGAAGAAAAAACAACTGGTCAAAACTTGCCTCCTCACCATTTCAAGTTTTAAATACAGAATAAATAATTTCACATGTTTTTGCATTAAGTTCTTGGTTTGCCTCATTAACTTCTTAATTATAATATATATATATTATATATATATATATATATATATATATATATTATATATATATATAATATATATGTTTAATGGGTTCTTGGGCAAACCAAGATCTTAATGCAAAAAACATGTGAAATTATTACAATATATTATTGTATATATTGTAACACAACGAGTCGTGTGGCTGGAACGGGAACGGAAATTTCAATAATAATAGACATAACATTTGCATTAATAAACATTTACTCACTAAAATGATGATGATGGTGATGATTTACATTAATTACAATAATAAAAAACGACCCTTTCTTTAATTAGCTACATAGCCATCTAATTAAAATTAATTACAAAAAAAAAGCGATGGGTCGTCATAGAATACTTGTGCTGAAGGGCCCCTCCCCCCCCCCCCCCGCGCTTCACTCGGCGAGTGTTCGACCGCATTTATGCGGGATCTAAGAGGATTAATACCCTCGTTTTCTGTCGACGGGCTCACGGCACGCCCGGCGGTGGAGTCGTCGGCCTGCGTTCTGGAGCGGGCCACCCCTTCCAGGCAGAGGCGGTGAACACAGGGGGCTACCAGCGTGACCGTTTGACGTCGCCGCGTTTTCTGGGGTCCTCCACTTCAACCAGCGTCACCAACCTCAGGCAGCAACGGTGTTCATCGGCGATGATTGATTGGAAGCCAATCAACTTCCGTATCAGCAGTCGCGGGCGATTGTCATAACGCGGTAAATTGACTTAGGCGCGAGACAGCATCCCTTTTCGCCTGAATTTCGGACAGAATGCGCGAGGGGTCAACTTCCCTCCGCAAGAGGCTTCGAATGTTACGTGTGGTTAACCTTTTAGCTACGAAGTTTTTTTCCTTCTGCACTCCGTGCGATACGGACTTTTTTAAATAGACGAATTTGCTTGACCTCAGTGGAGGTTTACATCTGGGCCAATGACCCTCATCTCGATCAGATTTTTGTCCAGTTTCCCTGATCCTGGAGCAAAAGCTGAAATGGTCCCTTGTTTTGCTTCTGGACATAAATGAAATTTCAATTTAACTTCCCCCATTGCACGTTACACACATTTTTTAAAATTGTTTTTGACGTAAATAAATAAACAAAAGGGAATGACATCAAGACATACAAAGGAATAATTCACTCAACATTTTATTTATTAATGGTTACGAATGAAATATTGTACATTTTTTTAATAGTAATGTAATATTATTGCCAAGACTTCAAAATTCATGCACTTAACGAAAATCGCGGCATCACACATTCTCTGTTCTTCCCGTATTACTAGCTCAGTACAACTCGCGCAAGTTTTCTTGATACGAGCTCACTAGTCCTCATCCAGCGCTGAATATCACTGCATGTTGAGATACTTAGGTTCGACTCTGAACGGTACCTACAAATTCACAATGCTTGCAACAAGTACCTCGTACTTTCAAAACGATCGTAGCACTTCTCGTGGCACGCTTTGGCGAGTGAAGTTCATGCCCACAGTTCGAACGCACTTTTAAGCCACAGCCAGAGCCCACCTCTCCCCGCATCCTGCAGCGGAATATCAAGCAAACATACGCGTAGAGTACACAGTCTCCACTTCTCCAATGTAACATTAAAAATTCAGCGTTATGTATATAACGCTGAATTTTTCTTATTACACAGAAGGTAAACATTCACGCAAAAATAATATTTAATTGACGTGAAATTTAGACGTAACTTAATATTTGGGGGCAGGTGATGTATCTGAATCTGGCAGTGGCTGTACCTTTTCCAAGAATCTTGAATCTTCAGAGGAACTTGAGCTTCTGCCGAGATTAATTAGTAAACAATCAACTACAATAGGTATTTTCCACGCACGTTTTCTTGAGCCCTCATTTGGCTAGATGTGAAAGGAGTAGGAGGGTTGGTTATTTTGATGACAGCACTACGATTTTAATCGTAGGAATAGTTTTAATCGTAGGATATTAATCGAAGCAAAATAGTTTTTGTTACACGAGAGCGAACATTTCTGATTACCATATTTTGTAAACAACTCTCATTGCTATTATTTATATGCATTTCAACTTCAGTTAGTAAAGAAGTGGAGGAAGGTATTCCGGAGCTCAGAAAACTTGCGGGTATAATAACAGTAACACCTTGCAAGTCACACATTCTCTGTTCTTCCCGTATTACATGTTCAGTATATTGTCGCCACTGCTCCGATGTAATCTCAAAACTAATATTTCACTCTGTGATTCATAGGTTGTGCCGTACATGTGTTGTGCCGTCCGCCATTAAAAGGAAACTACTCTTGATATGTACCATCTGAGTATTTTCGTTTGTCCTTACATTTCACGTTTGGACTTCTAGTATTTAAAGTAAATAATCACTTACGTCTGCTTTCTACCTATGATTTTGCTTATTCTATTGTATGTAAGATACAGTTACTGGAATTTTCAAGAACTATTTTCTGACGTGTATGTTTAATAAAGTGCGAGGAAGAGTGTGTTTCGTGAACTTGCAGCCATTCAGCGATTGCATCCCACGAGGATTTGTTTACATCCACTTCGTTCTCTCGTTGGACAAGATATAGTTGAGATCACTAAACGGGACAATCTATATACTCTTTGGGAAAGTCTCTCCGCACAAGATGCTTCCATGGATAAATATCGTGTGACGGTTCGTTCATGTGTTCATGTGCGATCGTTCAGGAACGACAATCCATATTGTGTGTCAGCTGATCGTAGGAGCTCAATCGTCATGAGCATCTCCTGCACCGATCTTCTGTCCGATCTCGACTGATCTCTCCTCCCAAACATCCCACGGTTGAGGTGTATACCTGCACAATCTATTGAAATTTAATCGTGTAATCTCGGAGTCACTTCACAGCACTTATAAAAATGAGTTTTCGGTGGTTGCGACGGCCTATCCGTGGCGTTTTGTTAGATATTTCAGGTGTTTTGAAAGACGGTTCTACGGTTATACCAGGTTCAGTGGAGGCTGTTAATTTGCTACGGGAGTCGGGTTTGGCTTTGAGGTTAGTGACAAACGAATCGCAAGAAACAAGAAGCTCGCTGGCGGAAAAACTTTCGAGTCTGGGATTTAGTGTGCACGAGAGAGACATTATTCCTCCAGGCCCAACGCTTGTCGACTTGCTACTGAGAGAAAATCTTAGGCCACATCTTCTGGTTCATCCAGATCTAGTTGCAGAGTTTAAAGGAATTGACACCTCGAATCCGAATTGTGTTGTAATTGGAGATGCTGCAGAATCATTTACCTACGAAAATCTTAACAAAGCTTTTCGGGTTCTTATAGACGCCAAAGAGCCGCGATTGTTCACCCTTGGAAGAGGGCGATACTACAAGGAAAAGGATTCTCTGATGCTAGACGTGGGTGTGTTCGCAGTCGCTCTGGAATATGCTTCCGGCGTGAAAGCTGAAGTGGTGGGCAAGCCTCATCCAGATTTTTTCAAGGCTGCTCTGCGAGACATTGGTGTTGATGCGGAAGAAGCAGTGATGATTGGCGATGACTTACTATCTGATGTAGGGGGTGCACAGAACTGTGGTCTTGCGGGAGTTTTGGTGAGGACTGGAAAATTCCGACCTGGTGATGAAACAAATCCCTCTGTAAAACCTGATGCAATAGTTGATAATTTAGCGCAGGCTGTTCAGCTACTTTTAAAATCAGAACACTGAATGGATTATGGCATTTCAAATGAGTTTGTAAGAAAACTTCTTTATTCATGGGAGTGGAGAGTTTTTATTTGTAGGCACAAGAAATGAACATCCCTATTCAAGGTTTTCATTTAAAAGTAATGATTTTACGAAAAGTGTACATGTGAAGATATCTTCATTAAGCTGTTTTAGTGGTTTGTTTTTAATATTTTTTCTAGTTTCGTTTTGCTGTATAAAATTCAATATTATGTTGTCATTCACTGTATATTTTCAAGAAACGTTGCCTATAGTTGGTGATAGACAACCTTATATGCAAGGAAAAGGCTAATTTTACATATTCATAACAGCGGATTCATAATCAATTCATAATGGCTTGAACTTTCTTATGATAAAGAACATTTCTGAGGTATGTAAGCTAGAAAGTGTCTCAAAAATATAAAAGTCTTTGGCAGATTGTTGAACACGTGAGGGCTGTAAGATTCCAAAATTCATATCACATGTAAAATTCTCTTTGTTTCTTATATAGTATATATCTATATATATATACTATATAGTCTTGTCTATCGTCAACAATGATAATATTGGTTTTTGTTAATTTTTGATATTTTGAATTATAAAATGTTATGTTACATTGCACTTTAATTAAGTATGAAAACTCCAAATTTTTAATGAATTTATTTTCTTTATTCAAACAAATGGAATTCCTGATTGTCAATGTATTATGTATGTTTTACTAAAAACCTGAAAGGAAATAATATCTAATGTAATTTGTTCTGTGATGGCTTTAAATATTTTAAAGGCAAGCAGTATCATTAAAGTCTAGGATTATAATTAAATAATTATGCTTGTCATAAATGTTTTTGGCTTCGTTTGCACATTTTGAAATGAAGAATTTTGAAAATTTTATGAATAAATTTTGTTCTTGAGAGGACTGTAGGTAAAATACAACAAACATAAAAGTTCCTTCCTTTAAATAATGTTAGACACTGTGATAATTACTGCTACAAGTATGTGATATTTTCCTTTTTCATTGACAGTATGTTTTCATTGCCTTATGTATTCTTTTTGATGTTCCTAGTGACAAATAAGACAATTTTGCACATGATTATTCCAAGTATTGAAATGACTGTAAATCGTGCATGAAGTGTGGAATCACTTGTGTGTTGCAACAATCTGTTCTGCACGAGTAGTTAGGTGAAATGAGAAAAAAAAAGGGAAATACAAAGATGAGTTTCAAACATTGTTTGGTTTTCCACCAGAAACTATATTAATGTTTTGTTTTCTGATGGGAATAAAATCTATCATTCAGCCATGCCTCATTGAATCCTGTAACTCACAAAGTAGTAGAGCATTTTCTATAATTGAAGGAACCACCATCCATCATTACAAGAAGCATCCAACAAGCAGTAATTTTTGTTGAGCACCAAGCAAAAGCGTCACTATGCTCTGTTAAGATCAAATAGTATCTTACGTTCATTTTTCAAATGTCTTAATTTTAATTTTTGCAATCATAACTTTTTTAAAATTTAAAATACGCGTAGAAAAATGATCTTGAAAAATCCAGCCCTAGTGACCTGATAATTGTACCCATCCTGACACTATAATGCAAGGAAACGTGTTGAGGAAAACACTATTAACTCTATTGGAGAATGTAGCACACACATAAGTGTAGTACAATGTAGAATGTAAGACATACAAATGGAATGCGAGAGGATGTTTTTATAAGAAGAAAAAATCGCTTAAGAAAAGTTCTTGAAAGGGAGTTTCGCCAAAGAAGGGTGACAACAAAATGTTCATTTGTGCTGCATGATGTTCATATACCTTGGAACAGAAACTCTCTTATGGATGTTCATATTTGTGCACCAAATAATGGATCAAGTTGCCAGATATCATCTTGTGACAGATGCGAGAAAGATATGCTTTGGAGTGGAATTCATTAAATTATGCTGTTACTAAAATCAAATCGTTTTAAAATCATCCAGCATATTGAACAAGTTTTCAGTTTCTTTGAAAAGTATTTTAATTGATGAGGTTTTTACAAGCTTTGTAATGGTTTCATTAGTCAGTTATATTCAAATAACCTAGTTGATACAATGTTAACTGATTTTTTGACAGTGTATGTCTCTGAACAATGGAATTTCATTTAACTAATGGATATGAAATTACGTATTTTCTTGAATTATTTGTTATAGTTGTTCTGTTTTATAATGTTGAACTTGTATTTGTATGTTCTATATTAGCCACCTCTGGAAAAGCTTTTCACTAATAAAATGAAAGAGGATCGAAAGAAATATAATTTCTATAATTCACAAATTTTAATGAAATGACATTTTAAGCAATTTTTTTAAAGAAAATTTGAGGATAATTTTCTTCAGTTCACTCAGTTTCATCTTTTGATCAAAAATGTTTTGATCAAATGTGTTATATTGCAGATTGTGTAGAATGATGCAGGCTAAACTCAGCTCAGGTTGCAGTGCAATTTTATTCATTTTAATGCTTATACAAAAAAATTTTTGCTTGAAAGTGTCCTGACAAGTTAAAATTAACAATTACTGAGAAAATTTTGAGAGAGGAAATTTCCTTCCCCATGGATTTCAGTCTTTAATAATGTAGTTGTATAAAGAAGGCATTGTTAATGGTTTGAAAATTTGCAATTTTAAAAAATGCAGGTGTGTTAATAAAAGTTGGACTTACACCATATTGTCTAGCAAACTTTCTTCTATACAAACTAATAACTAAAGAAAATATTTGGGGACTAAAAAAAAACTTAATGGATAAAAAAAATAAAAAAATGTTATGGCTATTTCTTTCACAAGTGTACAAAACTACTTCTGTATTGAAAAAAATTGTATGTTCTAATTAAAGATTTTGAGAAAATGCCATTTATGCTGCCATGCCATTCCTGGAAATGTGCTTTTTGCAAATGTGTATTAACACTAAAATTTTTTTGAAATTTGAAGAAACTTGAAAAGAGGACATTTGTAACACACAATACTGTATTGCTCACAAATCCATACATTATATAACATGCAGTAATGAAAATATTAACAATATGAAAGCTGAAAGCTATTTCAAAACAAAAATATTTTTAATATTAAAGAATAAAGTTTGAATGATATTGAAGGTTGCTTATGTTGTATGTTTTAGTACATTGTACTGTACCCATATGAAAAATTAAAAGAAAAAAAATTGCAAAAGTAAAAAATAATATGAGATAGTGTGCTGTTGTTGCATCGCTACTTCAAAATATGAGATGTTGTCGCATAATTTTCAGAGAAATCAAGACCAATACACAATAACTGCACACTATCTCATGTTATTTTTTACTTTTGCAATTAAAATAACAGATAGTTCCATGAAAACTAGATCTGTCCAATGCTTTCATGTGCCGCTTGTTCTAAATGAAAAAGATTTAAATAAAATAAGAAAGGTTTTAGAGATTTTGTTTGCCTTAAATTTAACAAGAAACTAGGTGATTGTCAAGCAAGTTTCAAGCAGTACAAGACGTTTAAAATCTGGTTAGGAACACTTTGGGACAAAAATCTCTATCTTCAATATTGTAATTTTGGAATATTGAAGTTGCAAGGCATCGAGTGCCACGATTAAAAACTTTAATATGGTTTAGGTCTTGAGGCTCTTATTTTCATTATTCGGGCGATCCACACCTGGCTTCCCCGTATGGTTGATCTCGGCAGTTTGCGCAGTTTGTTCCGACTGCTCTAAAAAAAAAAAGGGGGAGGGCGATGGTATGGAAGGATGCGTGGTGTCAGGCCGTACCGTTCACAACGCAGTGAAATACATTGGAATTGTTTCGAATTACTGAATAGATTGAAAAAAAAAATCTTAAATCTAAACTTTACTATTTTCATGGGAGTGTTGACCATGGCAGAGTGCATGCGCTAGGGATACGATATTCTCCCTCGGCATGGGTGTAAGACCCATTTTTAATTGTTACTAATAATACTTCGCGGGTCACAATTAATGGCACCGCGGACGGCATATGGCCCTCGAGCCGCCAATTGGACAACCCTTCAATAGATGTCTTTGGAAAAAGAAACAAATTAAGATGCAACATTAAGAAAAGTGCTTCATATGTTTCAATAACTTGTAACAAGGTGTTGATGAACGTTTGGTGTAGGACTGTATTTAAAATGCCCGCTAATATTGTGACACTAGTGCATGAAGCTCAGAGTCTGCTCACGCTGGATATACTCCAACTTAATCTTAGTGGCACTTAGTTGCACGAAGTTCTCGAGCTGAAAGGAGAGTGGGGACATTGTCATGCAATCGGAATCTCTAATGCTAAAAATGTAAGTCGTAACAGAGATTCTGATTGGATGACTGCGTCCCTCTCTCCGTCCAGTTTCATCATGTGTTATTATATTTAAATTTGAGTGTAAGCTGCGCAACTACACGCCCATGTCCTTGCTTCACGTTCATTCCCATATATAGATAATACTTGTTTGTAGGTTATTTCTATATCCACCAGAACCAGACCAGAACTAACCAAGGCTTCCACCAGCGAGGGCTTACTTTACATGTGCTTGTGCGCGTACTTGCCCTGAAAAGTGCAACCAGCGGATTATCAACAATTTAGAAAACCGAGGCTTGGAATACATTGTGTTCGATTGTGTCATTCCAGTCATCAAATGCTTCGGTCCTGCTTCTGTTAACTGTTGACTCCAAATATAAAGAAATTCACTTCCCCTGCAGCAAAAGTAACTTAACATGCAAGTAAGTGCCCTGGATTGTTTCCCATTGAAATAAAATGTCAAAAGTCTTCTGTTCTAAACGAATTCAAAATAGACGATTAAACGTGTGAGCAGTCAGTCGGAAATTCAAGTGATGTGGCTCCCTTTGACAGTATGAATATAGGTCAGTATAGTAAATTTACCAGTGAACCTAGTGTTACAGTCATTTTTTGAATAAGTCTTGCTGATTAGATGATCTGGTGGATTGCATATGTAATCAAAATGTGGGGTCATTGGAAGAAAGCTGATATAAAGGTTTATGATAAGGAAACAGTCATTAAATGATAGTGAACTGATCATTGAAAGTGGAAGCCTTTATATTGTTATGAAGGATGTTTGAGTTTCAGGTTTAGAGACCGATGAATAATTTATCTGTAATTGAAAATATAAGCTGTAATCTTTAATCTAGATTGTTAAGACTTATGAAAATAATGATATAGATGACAATCAGTAGGAGTTTGGAGGTAAAGGCAATACTGAGTTGATCTTGTTGAAAATTAGAAAAGAGAAATTGATAAAGAATTATGGGTTTTCCAGTTTTTATAGATTTACAGAGATAATTTGAAACAGTGGATTGGTAATTGTTTCTAATAAAATTTTTAAAAAAATGTATGGGGTGAGAGGTCAAATAAATGATTGGGGAGTTAATTAATTGAAAGATATCAGAGCAGTAGCATTACGAAATAAGCATGAATCTCCCTGCAAAACTTCCATCTGAGCCCCCTTTATAAAAATGTATTGCAAACACAAGTAGCTAGTACCTTAAGAATAAAAATAGACCCCTTTTATCTGGGCCCACCTTCATTGTAGGCCTTGTAGGCCCGAACGTGACACCACTGTATCAGAGAAACCAGTAGGCCAGTTTTACTTTGTATGAAATGTGGAGTGTCACAGGGTAGCAAGTTAAGGCCCTTATTATCTACTATATGTATTAATATTGACTTACCATGCATTATATCTAGAGTTACTATAAAATTGTTTGCTAATGATATATTATATTTTATGGGTCATGACATAAATGTATTTACATGTAGACATAATGTATTTAATGTAATAGTAAAATGCAACAAATAAGTTAATTGTCAAGAAGGCAAAACACTTGGCTGTGAGAAGTAGCAGTCAAAGAAAACATAAGAAAGATTTATATAGGTGAAAATGAAAAATTGAATTGGTAGAAAGCTTTATGTATTGAGTGGTGATTTTAGATGAGAAGTTCGACTGTCATGTTGATTTTCTAGTTCAAAAATTGGAAAGAAAATGGGAGTATTGAGGAAATGAAACAAATTTTTAAGAAAAGAATGCAAAGGAACTTACTTAAAAAAATATAATTCATCTTGATGTTCAACAGTTTTGTAAAATTGGCATTCATAGAATACATAAGGTTTTGAATAGGGGATTAACAGTAGTTTTAAATAATGGTAGATTGGCAAGTGTTAGGGATGTGTGTAATTGAATATTTAAAAAGTGGAAAAGGAGATTTATATTGATGTTGTAACATTTATGTATAAGATTTAGCATGATTTGTTGCCATATACTTTTTCAAAAAATTTGTCTAGAATACTGAGCTACACAAGTATGATACAAAACAGACCAATAGATTTCATCAAATTGGTTTTGCTGCGGGAGATAGAAAATCATTGTTCTATCATGTATTAGGATGTATAATTACTTGCCTGTATTTAAAAAAGAGTAAGATTTATAAAATATGGTAGAAAATATAAGAAGGTTTAGGATGGAGGTAAGAAAGTGGATCATGAAAAGAATACAGTATTTAATAGAAATTTATTACATTGGAATCAATTTTTTGTTTATTTAATTTGCTGTATAACGGAGTGTAACATTTACCTCGTGGCAATTCTTGTATTAAATAAAGAAATAAAAAGAGCTGAGGTATGGAATTGTCATGTAATGATTATATTTTAAAATAATAAATTATGTTTATTAACAATAGGTGAATAAAATTAGTATTAGTATTAATATTAATCTTATTTTAAACTTTTTTCATACAGGCAGTCCCCCAACATTCATAAACTTTAAGCAGAAAAAGTTATTACAATATTTTTTAACTAGTTAATAATATAGTACGTCAATCAAAATTAATTTAATTTTCCTCATTAGTCAAATTCACAACAAAATTGTTTAAAGATATCTGAGAACCCAAAATTCTAAAAAAAATAATTGATATATTATAGCTAGTTTCAAATAATTTGATTGTGTTAGCTGCGAAGGGCCACTTTTACCTCATCATCATGGAGTCATTTAGCAGGCATGGTTCACGGGGGAGAAATGAGGGAAATTTCCCCTCCCAAAATTTTTCACTAACTATTAATTTAAACTTGTTGTGAAACTTTGTCAAAAATATTTTCATATAAACATTAAAACGAATAAAGTAATCTAGTAATATGAGCTGAGTTTAGTATTATTCTCCATTATATGTACTGTGACACATTCAACCAAAACATTTGAATAAAAAACATTCCCTTCCCAAAATTCGTCTCTGGATCCGCCCCTCCATTTAGTTATGTTTGTGCTCATGTATCATCTTATGTAAATTTGAAATCCAAAGCTACTTCTCTACCTGTTGAAAGCAACAAAAAGTTGCATAATTGTTGGTACATATTCTCTTGAGATGGTATTACTGCATTTGTTTATTCTACCAGGCATAATTCGTCTTTCCCTGATATTTGTGAATTTCTTATAAGTAACACCTGGTAGTTCAGGCATTGATTTTACCTAAAATAGAAAGGTAAAAAGACATTTACTTTTTTTAAAGTAGGCATGCAAAAGGGCATTTATTGTGGCTATAGAAGGGATGTAAAAAGGCATTTAAACAACAAAAAATTTGCAATTAAAAGGATTGATTGTGAAGAATTAATAAATCAAATGATTAACTTTCTAATTCAAACTTTAAAATTTATATTAGCACTTATGTGGAAGGAGATGATAATTTTTTAAAATCTTGATTGCTCAAATCAGATTCTCCCAATTATCCTGGCTCATCAACCGCCACTCAAACCTTTCTTTAGACAACAAAGTACTCCTCTACAAAGCAATTATCAGGCCTATTTGGGGCTACGGAATTCAACTCTGGGGATCCGCTAGCAAATCAAATATTGAAATACTCAGAAGATTCGAATCAAAATGTATTAGAAGATTAGCCAATGCACCGTGGTACGTAACGAATGAAACACTACGTCGAGACCTTAAGATACCTAGAATATATGAAGAAATCACTCAGCGTAGCTCGTACCACTTGGTATGATAAGAAATTGTTTTTCTCACGATGCTGTCTCTTTGAAATGCTATTGTGGACTCCCGTTTAAATTGCATAAATGAAAATGGAATTATGTTTTTTGTTCTTCACACTTCTGTAAGTAGGAGAGTAGAAATGGACTACATGAGACAATGCCTACAACTTATTCGCAAGGACAGAGTGAGAAGTGAAGAAATATGGAGAAGGATGAATGTAATTTGAGAGGAGAAGGCGAGGAAGACCTGTTTTAGAGGAAAAAATATATCCAGAAAGCTGTGGAGGATCAAGGCCTCAAACTAGGAAATTGGGGGGACCGAGAGTTGTGGAGGGTGAAAATTGCCAACTCCTATGAGGAAAAAGCCAAAGATGAAGAAGAAACGTCTGTAATCTCTCAGTAATCTTCAAGTTCTGCTGAGTTGCTGTTTTATGATACCACTGAAGACAGAAATGGAAACAGTAAATTTGAAGTTAACCATAATAAGAATTAAGCAAGTTAATATTATACTTGGACCATTGGTTACCTGGTGGTATTCTTTTTTATTTTGTGTGTAATGTGCTTTATGTTTTTGCACAAGTAAGAAAGGAGATGATCTGAGCGTACGAAAACTGTAAAACGTATATTATTTTTTTAGAGGTGCTTGAATAAAAGCTTTTCTAACAAAAACATTAGAAAAATAACAAAACATCACACTTTAAGCAACTTAATAGAGTAGTGAATTTGCATAATGCATTAGTGATATCAAAATTAATGTACTGCCCTGTAGTATGGTCTTTAAGTGTGAATTTTGGAATAAAAAATATTAGAGAGTGTACAACACAGATGTTTCAGATATGCCTCATTGAAGATTAAAAATTCAATGTCAATTTATTCCCATGATTATTCAGACATTTCCTTGAAAAGTAAATTACCATCTTAGCAGTCCTCACGAGTATTATTGACAATAAGTTTATGTACAATCTTGTAAATACTAAAATTGATTACGTAGAATTAAGAATTTTTTTTGTTCACTATACTAATCCCTGTAATACAAAAAGGAATGTTTTTTTTTAAAGAAATGTTTTGCATAACACAAAATTACTATTGTTCATCAATGCCCTACAAGATATTGCAATGAATATTTGAGCAACGAACAATTTAGGTATAAGTGAGGCAAGTTTTGAAAGATGTTTGAAACAACGAATGTTGGATTTTAGCTAGTAGAATTATTTATTACTAATTTGTAACTTCATTACTTGCACTTTGTTTTTGTTATTGTTATTAATTTCAATATTTCTTACTATGTTAACTTCTGTATGTACATCAACCGTGTGTAATATATAATTTCATTTGGGCAAAGAAGCCTGTTGTGTAAATAAATAAAACATTTCATTTATCTTGTCTTCCAAATAATCATATGGAATGGATCATATGGAAAGATAACTTTTGTAATTCACGTAAACAAAATTTAATTTAACTCAAAAAACACAATTATGAAGTATGCAAAACATTTGACTCGCTTTTCTTTTGTATTTTAGGATCCCAATGCAGATACAGAGTGGAATGATATTCTTAGGAGCAAAGGAATTATTCCTCCAAAGGAGAAAGAGATATCTGAGGAAGATGTCATAAATGTTCTTGAGCAAACTATTGATGAGAAAACCCAGTGCAGTAAGTGCTCTTTGACATTAGCTTGACCAATCAAATAATCGGTTATTATATCCAAAATAAGTCAAACAAGAACACTGGAATTGCCATTAATTACGTATAAAACACTTTTATATGTTCTACAGATGATGTTTTATATGTACCATTGTTGAATGATGCTGTGGTGACTTGGTAAGGCACTAGCCAAAGTGCAGAATGGCTGGTTTTTTGTGATGTTTTGCCACTGGACCTCTCTATCTACTAGTATGAGACCTTGCCTGTCCTCAACTAAATGGTTTCTTAACCCTTAGCCAAGGGCATCTTTGCTATTGCCATTATCAGAGCCGGTGACTACTTACTGACGGGAGAGATTGTTCAGGACATCAACTGATGTCATTACAGTCCCTCTGACCGGAAGGTCCTAGGTTTGATCTCCGACGGTGGCAGGATTTTCGACACTAGCCAGATAGGTCGAATTCAGTTGCCTTGTTGAGGAGAATTCTAGTAGACGGCTAATATGGTTGATAGTTTCCCATGGTATCTCCAATCAACACCTTGCAAATGCTGGAGCACTGCCCAAACAAGCTGGTCACAGACTGTGCATGATCTTTCCTACCTCTTTCTTGTTCTATCCTCACCTCCTTATACACACTCACACTACCATGCACTAGACTACCACACAAGCCAGGAGCGCGATCGGGAGCTTAGAGCTTGGCCCGACTGGAGCAGTGCCCTGCCGGCGGGAGATACCCAGTTGGAAAAATCCCTGCTAGCCTACTGTAGATGGGCACCGGATCTTGCAATGTAGCGGGGGAAGACTTACAGTGACAAATATCCATTTTAAATTTGGAAAATAAGAAAACATTTGAAAATGTGTAGTGTATTTTTTGGTGCCAATGCCTTCATTCTCATCTTCTTTTCACTTTTTCTTTTCTGTATTTGCAACTGTCAAAATAGTTGTCAAGAAATGGACGTTTTTCAGATCCATCCAGTTCTTGTGGTTTTCTTTGTTAAACAGGTATTAACAGTATTCGAAACTTGAAGTAAATTCCCGATTCTTCCATAATGAATGGAAAACATTGAAAATAATTGGGAAAAAGGAGTAAAAGTGTTATCAAGTTTTAAATATTCTAATTTTCATCAAATTTTGTTGACTGTTCATAACTTAATTTTGGAAATATCTGCTGTAGTTGTGAATTCTTTTGGTTCAGTTGGTTTCACATTCTTGCTGGGACAGTGCATTATTATTGATTTCAGATGCAAAGAAACTAGAAGTATTATCTTTGGACGAGTTGGATGAATTAGAAGATGAAGAAGATGAAAAAGTTATTTTGGAATATCGAAGAAAACGAATTGCAGAAATGAAGGCAGAAGCAGCTAAAGCTCGTTATGGAGATGTCCGAGAAATTAGTGCTGAAGATTATGTGCTGCATGTCAATAAAGCTGGTGAAGGAGTTTGGGTTATTTTACATCTGTATAAGCAAGGGTAATCGGAGAATCCTCATTTAGAAAATATTTTTCCTTCAAATTAGATGGTATTATTTGGTAATGGTTTGCTTTCAGCATTCCGTTATGCACCTTGCTGAACCAACACTTATCTTTACTTGCTGCAAAGTTCCCAGCTACAAAGTTCTTGAAAAGTATTTCAACAACATGTATTCCAAACTACCCAGACAGCAATTTGCCAACAATATTTGTCTACTTTGAAGGAGACCTGAAGAGGCAGTTTGTTGGGCCTCATGAGTTTCGAGGCATGAATATTACAGTTGATGGTAAGAAACACTCTTGAGCTCATTACTAGAGACTGGATTATGTGCAAGTTTCATATGCTTGCATATTTTGCATGTTTTTAACATGGTGTATATCAGCATATTACTACTGTTGAAAGAAATCCTTCTCATAAATCGCAGGGAGATTTCTTATAAGTAAGTCATTTTCGTTTATTCCACTTGAAACACTAATTTTGTCTTCGAGAAATGACAAGACCTGAAAATTCCTTCTATTCAATTCATGCAACATGAACGATGTGTAGATTCCAGTAGGTTGCAACAAAAGTAGGTTCTTCCAAGTGAAATTGTTGGCGATCTAAATATGTCACATTCTTTAATGGCACAGTTTAAAAAATACCATATAACTTTGGTAGATGTTGAAAGCACTTTTTCCATTTACAAACGCATGTATGCAGATAAGAGAAGTAATTTTTTGGTTGACCATTTTGAAAACACGAGGTAAAATGTTTTGCAAATACTACTGTCTGGTGAAGACATTCACATGTAACCTATAGTTAAAAGTAGTATTTAATAATAAATGTACTAAATAGAAAAATTATTAATATGCTAGTGTTCATTTTTAATCCATATTTCCTAAATACTTGAATATAATTTGGCATAAATCTCCATTTGTCTGCATATACTGCAAAACTGCATATATATGCAAATATTTTTCAAAAAAAAACAACCAAATACTTATAATTCTTTCTCAACTTATTACATATCGGTATCAAATCACTTTTGTAGACGGGTTGAATTATGCATTTTTTAAACTGAAGTGGAGAAATTCGTTTAATATTTGTGAATTGTGAATTGCTTGTTCCACAATTTGCCCTCTTGTTGAGAATCAATTGCGAATTCTGTTCTTGTATAAAGCATGCATGGCCAGTGTTGGCATTGCGATGTTACTATGACTATTCCACTCATGAAATTAAAACCAATAGAGTTTAACTATATATCCAAAATGTCCCAATGAAAGTGGTGTATCTCAAATAGTTTATCACTTTTTCTATCCATTTTTTCTTACTGCTTCTTCTTATGGGCCAATCGTAAATTGTGAAATCTTTCTTAGGAGGTGATATACATCAATTGCTATGTCAATGTCCAATAAACAGCATATGTACTAAATCATAACATCTTTGATTTTATCATAGTTTTGAGTTATTTTCAATATATGGTGCATTTTAGAACTTTGCTGGACATAATTCCATTCGTGGATTAGTCCTATTAAATACCACTAGTGCTTTGGAAATTCTCAGGTAAATTCCTTTCTCACTTTGCAAGTCTGGGATTTATCGATTATTTCCAAAGCACTCATGGTATTACCTATGAAAATGGTGATACATTAAAAAAAAAAAAAAAATCATTAACATAATTTTAGAAGTTACAAAAGATGTGATAACATGAAAGTTGTGGTATTTATAATATTTATATTAATTTATTAAAATAGACTTTATTACAATAACCTATGAATATTGTCCCTCCATCATCCATATTAGAATTATTTTATGTTACATGATTTTTATGTGGCATTTGTTTGTTGTTCTCATAAGTTTTTCATTGCAGAACTCGAATGGATTCTTGGGCAGGTTGGTGCAGTTAAAACTACTCTCCAAGAAGATCCTCGACCGAAGGTCAAAGATGTTTTATTCAGCAAATTAAAAAGTAACGATGATGATCTCAGTGATGACAACGATTGGTGATAGTTGGAATATTTATTTTACACTTGTGGAAAAAATATTTAAAAAATAAGTATTTATATTTCTTATAATTGTTCATGGAATTTCACTGTTGCCTTTGTATATTTACAAACTGTACAGATGTTTTGATGGACTCAGTGACAACACTCAATTGTGTTTTTGAAATTGTGAAAAAGACCTTGAATAAACTTCTTTGTTATATTTGTGAGTGTGTGTGTGTGTGTTTAACAAAATGGAATTTTGACCTAACCAAAAGAATTAAATAGATTTCTAGAGAAATGTAATTTTCATTTACCTTCATATTTGCCTGAATGAGACAAGATTTTTCCTAAGTATCTCATTGAAAGAATGTAGTGATGTATACTTTATTTACTATCATGTATTTGCAGATTAAGCCTAGTCAGTTTTGATTTATATTTTTGAGCTGCCTTTCCACATTAAGAAACTTGAATGCTGTTGTAACAATAAGTTGCAAAGGAGATAAATATCACACATACCTATAATACCTAATAGTCAATAATGTTATTGTCTATGATACCTAATATTCTTATTATAAAATTCAGTATAATTCTTGGTACCAATCGCAAATTTGCCAGGCAATCCAGACCAGTATCTTTATGTGCATGCTTCATGGTCAAAAGATGAAAGGCAGCCAATCATCTGATGAGGTTGGTCTGTATTTCTGTAATTCTGTTTGTGATCTGTAACATCAAACCCTCTGGAACAATGAAAAGACACATGGAATGAAATGCAGCAGTGAAGTTGAATCACCTTCACTGCTGCTTTCATTATTTCTAATAATTTCCTGTAATATTTTATTGCTGCCTCATGATTATAGAATGCTCAAAGTATACATTTTTTGAATGTAGGTTATAATGTAGCAAGAGATTCATGGGAATTAATTTAAATTTGCTTGAATTGATTTTATATTTTGTTAAAGAAGCATTTTTGTACATCTTTTCCCACAACGTGTGATGTACATAAACTTTATTTGTGAGATGAGGCAACCAGTTATTGGAATAATTTTAGAAATTGGTATATATTTGTAGGACGAAACCTCCCTTGTAATAAATTCAAAGGGCTTCAGAAAATTTAGAATTTGTTTAATAATACAATTTCTGTAGTATTGAGCATGGCTGGAGCATTATTTACTTTTGAGAGTAAATCCAAACAACTGCATAAATCAAGAAATCTTTCTAACATATAATAAAGTTACAGCAGGTAGATAGATACATCTAAAATAAGTTCCTTTACCAAGCATTCAGGAGTGCCATTATTAATTTGTTTTTCTCTCAGCTCATCTTATTTTATTGTACTGCACACTGAAGTTTTAATGCAGATTCCACAACTGAGTTTGTCATGTTAGCAGTAGCAGTTTGGGGTAGGCAAAGTAGGCACTGCCTACTCTGATGAATTTAGACTAGTTAAATATATTTCATATTATTAAAATCAATTAAGTTACTCTTACAATATTAATATATAATGGTGTGAGTATTATTCATCTGGAAATGTTTAATGAACATTTAAGTAACTTGCGCCACTAAATAGGCACGCCCAGGCTCTGCCTCGCTTCGCACTTTGTGTTTTCTTTATGAGACAATAAATGAAATTACAGATTTAGTGTTATAGAGAATGACCCACCAACTATAGGCCATTCCCACAACTTCTAAACAGTTCACAATATCAAAATGCCGCTTTCACTCAACAATGTGGAACCATGAGGCAAGTAATATGACTCATTTGATTGAATTTCTTGATAAGAAGCAGTTTTCCATGTACAAAGCATCTTTTCTTTCAGAAAAGTTATCAATTTATTTAGTCAAAAAACAGTAAAAACTGTATGTGACGTATGGGGGAGAAGATTATTTGGGCAGGTCTTCTTGAGCTCCAGAATACCTTTCCAACATTTTAAATATAAGTATTTAAAAAATGAATAAAAGTTTAAAAAGTCTTTCCTATCTTCCTTATCTTGTATTTTCTCTCTCGTATATGTTTCTTATTTTCTTATATTTCCTAATAAAACAACATAATTCTTCAACACTGAGCACCTTCATAATGAACTGACAAATGTATCAATTGATAATGCAAGATACATGTCTGCAGATTTGTTGCTGAAGTATTTGTTGGACAATGGTGTAGAATATGAGATGTTTCAGTTGATACTCAGTGTAACTTTAACTGTATCTACAGCATTGTGGGAAAGGAATATGATTACATTAAGGAAAGAGGACATTCCAGAGAAATTCCATGGGAAATATCAGACTCAGTAATTTGAGAATTGTGGCTTTGGAGAAGTTTCTGCTTAATTATCTTACCAGGATTGGCAGCTAAAGGGCAAGCTGAACAATAAGTCCATTGAATGGAGCTGATTTACAAAGAAGTGTAAAGTAAGATTTTCCAAATACTCAGCTCCACAACCCACAACCTTAGCAATGTGACTGAGATGTGTTAATTTGGACAGAAATTGTTTTGTAAATAGTATTATGGAACCGTTACTATGGGTGAAAAGTATGTGCTGCTCTAGAATTATTAATTAAATGTGCTAAAATTTTTGTTTTCATTGATGGAATTGCAAAGTTTTATTCAAAGTAGAAGATACATTATTAATAGTTGTAAGTTAAAGTTCTGAGAAACAAATAACTACAAAATTATTGAGAAAACACAAAGATAATAATACCACAAAATATTTTGTAAGAAATTTTTCTTTTATATTTTTTTATTGCCATAATTTGTTGAACATAAAATAAGTGCCCAAGTAACATTGAACAAACAATTCAGAAAAACAGAAATTTAATATTATACAAAATACTGCATAAATATTATTGTTATTTATTTTTAAACTTTATTGAAAATAGTGCCTACACTGTATTCAGATCATTTAAACATTAAGAAATGCAATTTTACATATAGTGCAAATTTCAGTTATTAATTTATTCTCCAATTGATGCCCTTGAAAATCAAATTATCAATTGACTGGCGCGAACCAACTCCATCTGGAGAACGAGGTCTTGCGAACGCCTCGGCGAGAACCATCGAGTGCCGCTTCTTGTATTTAGTTCAACAGCTTGCCATTAGCGCTGTTGGCACTTCCGTCGCATTCGATGGCTATGGGTGGCTATGGCGGCCAGGAGCAGAGCGCGCTAGTGTAGTGGTGTAGTGATACCTCCTCTCTTTTCCTACTTGCACAGTTTTTTTTTGATCGTGATATGGTTATGTTGTAATTTAATGTTTTCGTTCTTTTAGTGTATTGAAAAATCTTCCTTTTCACTGAGCGCGTTTTTATTACTGAAGAGATTTTTGTGCCTTTTTTCGGGTTCGACCTTTAGACAATACTTAAGTGGTTTTAACAAACAAATAATTTTAAATATGACGGCGCCAATGGAAAAGATACAGATTTTGGACACTATTGAAAAAGACATAATAACGTGCCTTCAAAGTGCAGGTAAAGTAATTATTAATTTATAGTAATTACTTAATTTTTATAATACTGTGAACTACTCTATTGTTTTAGGGCAAGCTTTGATGGAACTGAGTAAGGAAAAATCAAGTGTGAAACAGGCAGAAGTACAAACTCATCAGTTTTTGAAAACTTTGGGGCTTGTCGAATCAAAATTGACAGAACAAATTAATTATCTGACTCAAGTATCAACAGGTAAGAACGGAATAAGGTTGTTGCAAAAATTAATAAAGTACTAGTTTTGAAGAACTCGAGGGAATTGTAATACAAGTAATAAAAAGATATCATTAACCTTAGAATACTTACAAAAAGTAAATTTTACTCACACCCATAACCTTACTGCTTTAAACTCCTGAACCTGTGACCCTTGAGTTCCAATTGCTAGCAGTGCGATCTTGAGTCAGTTTCCGATATGTTGTGATGATTCAATGGTTATTTTCTTTGAGACCTGGTGTAAATTTTATTTCGTTAGAAATGTTGGATGTTTTAGGGGAAGTACTGAGGAAAGTACTTCACATGATCAAGGATCAACTTAATAGTTTATGTGTCAATTTCATGACAAAGCTCTGGTTAAACAGATTTCCAAGAAAGATAATGTAATTCTAACCTACAATCAAACCAAATGTACAGGAGACACATTGGACTAAATGTGACAACATATACAAATTGTGAGAGAAAAACAAGTAGAGATTGCTTTAGATCCATATAGCTTTAATAATACCCTATTTTATCTGTTCTCATCAGTTTTTCAAAATGTAATGAAATGCAAATTGACCTGACAAGAAATTTCATGTTGTAATTTTTCTCAAGATTGGCATAAGCAAAATATTATTTGAAAACAAAAGCAAAAACACACGCACACAACTTTTGAAATCAAATATTAACAATGTTCTTGGGATCAAGGAAACCCTATAAGACCACCTTAGAAGGGCAGTGTTAGAATTTGTGGCCAAGCACTTCAAATATAAATTATTTATACATTATAAATAATTTAAACAACCTTTGACAAATTATCCTTGTATGGAGGCAGGTAGAGTTCTCTTCATTTTTTTTGGCATTTGAATTCTGTAGATAATTTGCCAAGTATATTTTTAGTATGAATATGAATATTTTGTGACATTCATTTTTATTTCAATAAACTAGCTTTATGTGGTTATTCTGCAGTGCAAAAATCAATAACATGTGATATTCACTTATGTTCGCAGGGCAGCCACATGAAGGTTCTGGCTATGCTTCGCAGAAAGTGCTCCAGATGGCTTGGCATCGTTTGGAACATGCCAGAAGCAGAGTAAATGAGTTGGAACGCATTAAAAACAAGCATTTGCAAGGCAGAACTCTATTGAGACCTCAGCAGCCACAGTCACAGCAAATGAGTCAGGGTCAACAAAATGGTGTTCAGCAGATGGGTTCGTCCCATTCCGGTACCACAGGATGAAGTTGATTTAAGTGGTGGTTTCACATGTTGTCTACTAGGGTCTCATATGATGCAGGCTATTAAAATTGTTTATGTGCAAGTAACTGATTTTTCTGTACTGTGGGAGAGTTAATATTTATAATAAAATTATTCTTATATATGTTGCCATAAAGTATTAAATGATAAATATCCTTCGTATTGCTGTGTGTCAGTTTGTGTGATTTTTATTGACTCAGTGGTGAGACAAGGCTCTTGATATATCAAATTAGAACAAAATGGAAACGTTTGTTTTTAAAATTTTTGTTCTTTGTCTAGCTTAGGTAATGCATGCAGAAAGTTCATCTGCTGCCAAAAAGAGACACATAGTTTATTAAAATCATAATGCTTTCTTATTTATATTTTTGAAGCAATAGTGCATTTGTATGAAGTTCTGAATAAATGGGTTTAACTTTTTCTGAAAAGATGTGGAGAGAAAGGAATATGTGAAACTATGGCAAAGCAAAAATGAACTGGTGTGGAAGGTTAGTTATTTATTCTATGCGAGTGTATCATTAAAGTTTTTTCCATATGCAAAACTGTTGCTTTTTCCTCCCCTTATGTTCATTTTACTTAACCTTCTGCACTCTGGAGCTATTTACTATCAATTTGTGCTGTCAGAAGGAATCAATGTGATGACAAATCCATAATGGATCTTGACTCGTGTACTGGACACTTAGTTGCTGCCCTGTCACTCAAAAGGCATCTCCTATTCCTCGTTTAACTCGAAAGGTTTCTATGAGATGACGCTTTTAATGTGCTATTTTTCGAGATATTGATGCAATAATGAATTAAAATTCTTTTGTAATCTGAAATCGATTTTGTGAGATACAATTATCTTTGCTGCCACTTGAAACAGTCTTGTAAGATGCAAATAGGAAAAACTGTGTGGTTTGCGAGTTCCGGTGATCTGCGTGAATGTCTGGCCTATGAGATGAGGACATATCTTAATTCATTTTTTTGTGAACACAATGAGGGGAACAACATATTCTCACATTTATTACAACAATAAAGATTTTTTAAAATAAAAAACAGTAACTGGATGTGTTCATGCAGTATATTTGGGTATATAATTCAACTTGGGCAGTGTTCTAGAGCTTTACATCCTATAATCTGTTTATTTTTCTTTGTATGAAGTCTTCCAGTGGTAGGAAGAGCAATCGTTGCTGAGCGAACAGACCTACTGCTGGCGTATGTATACTGAACCAGAGCACCATTAGAGTTTGGCATCTAAGAGATGCTGTACGACAGAAACCTCGTCTATGACCTCAAGCTAGCGTAACATTTTGCAATGTCATCTCTCAGATGCCTGCACAAAGGGTTAAAGAAGTCCATTTTTATCAGTGGTAAAGTGAGGGATGCAAATTTGCTACTATGTACCCACTGAAAGAAAAATACAAGAAAAAGATGAATGGAATGGAATGTTTTTTTTATTCAATTAAGTGTTTGTTTTGGGTATTCAAGGATGACAGCATTCCCACAATTACCATATTCAGAAGACTGGCACTCTATGGAAACAAGGGCCCAGATGCAGAAGATTCACAGGGGCTCCTTACTTCGAAAGTTCACCCTCACAAATATAAAAGTTTTATTAGTTATTCAAGCAATACATAGTTTTATAATGTTCAGAGTTAATTGCTGAGTAACTCTTGCAGGATCAGCTTACAGGGAAAAGTTACTTCCTTTATCCTGCTGCCATGATTGTGCCTCAGTATTATACTGTTAGGGTCATTTGTATTGAGTTAAATGTAATTGTTAAACTGTGGAAGAGGAAAGTCAGTCCCAAAAGTGTGCATCAAAGAAAGGATGATCACAGAATGTCAATAAAGGTGAGAAACTCTGTAGCTATTCATTACAAATTGACTCATTCCCTTTCTGGCTGCCATCTACCGGCGTTGAAGGGAATACCAATTCTCATGCAGCAGCTTCCTTCAGTTTTTTTTCTTCTCCTGTTAGTCTTCGCAACACGCCTCTGAATCCTGATTGGGCATTATGAACCTGGAATAATCCTCCCTGAAGTTTGTCTTGTCACATCGCAGTCAGTCTTTTATCCTTTTAGCTAAGGGCTCAGCACTTTTAGTAATCACGGTCCGCCGACCTAGGAATCCGAGGTGTCGTGAGTTGCTGAACTTCCGAGGCTTCACTTCCACAATTCGACGCGTCATGACGATGTTGGAATTTGCAGTGAACGCTTCCCCTTGCTCTCCAACCACAACGCCTAAGTAGCCCTTGCACCATCACACTCCTGTACTATTACTTGAACTTGCTCATGGTCCATATCGATATTTGTTCTATTGTTTTGGGTGTAGGGAGCTAGATTTTTCATTAGACACATGAGCAGGTTGCACACAGGTCTCACATAGTACTCACTCACAGTCAGTGCAAGGTATGCCCCCCCCCCCCTTTCACAATTGAAAAGATCCATCTCTTATGTCGTATTCAAACCCACGGCCAGTGACCACATACGTGGGAGCATCTGATTGGAGCACTAAGTATACCTGACTACCCTAACAAGGAAGCCCAGAGGAAACCATGGGGCCTCTTATTAAGAAAAACATACTATCCCCTGCGCAATTCATTTCTCCATGCATTAGAAATAACTTAACGCAGGGGTTTTCAACCTTTTTTTCATCACCTTTGACCTAAACGAAACTCCCGGCGGCTCCCCTGATAACAATAAGTTTCAAGTACACTGGACTCCGGTTATAGGGAACCTAATTCACTGATCCCTTTCACTTACAAATAAGGATAAGAACATTCGGTTATAGTGAACACTGAACCTCGACGATTTTTTCTCGCAAACAAACGCTACTTTCCACGGCAGCATTAAGTAAAATGTTACCGCAGGTAGGTCCTCGAGTATTAGTTCGGGAAGTATTAAGACAAGAGCATACGGACGATTCATTTCGGTGCAAATTCCTGTTCTGTTTTTCGTATCACGTTCGGTATGAATTTATAGACGCATCCCGTCAAAAAGAAGCAGTTCACCCTCACATCTGGGAACAGTTGAGCGCCCAAGCAAGGCCACTTTCACGAGACGAGAGGCCCTGGTAGAAGCCAGCGCGCATGAGCGGCTCCCGCAGCGGGACCTCGCGGGCCCGCCTGCCCGCCCGGCGGACGTGCACGTTGCGCATCTTCGCAGGCGCCGGGCCAGGGCCCGGCAACTCTCTATCAAAATTGGGGACAAAGCTCGAGGTTGCTACTATAGGCGCCGGGTTGTGTCGCTAGTGTCGCCGGGTGCAGCTGCAGGTTAGGCTCGCCAACATTCCCACATACAAATTAGCTAATTTGTGAGAAATACGAAAAGTGTCTTCTAAATGTACAATTATTCATAATGTCTACTTGTAAGAAACCTCTGAAGAAAGCGCGAACGTAGACGTTATCTTTTGTAACATTATGATCCTGCCGAACTCACGCAGCAGTCACGCACGTTAAAAGTATCGTTGGCAGCAGTTCCTGTTTTAGTTCCTGTAAAGAAGGTGATGCAGCAGAGCGCGCCACCATAATGGTTTCCACCACGTTATATGGGAGTTATAGGGCCCTACGCCGGGCGCGGAGGCGGCTGTGGGCACGGGCGTGTCGGTGTTATCGTGCAGGTTGAGAATCAGCTCGTAAAAAACGCGCGAGAAATCGCCCTTACACGATTTTATGTGTTCTGTGTGGCGGCATTCTGCTTATAATAATTATTCGGTTTATTCTCGTTTTTACATTTGTTCACTGTGTGTGCAATGCGAGTAACTCGTTTCGATTTTTGACTGTTGGGTTCAATAGTGTTTCAGTAACGTCCTACGAGACAGAATAAATAAAACTCGACCTGATGCAAATTGTTCTTTAGGCCTAACCGGTTCGACGGACACATTGATTTTTTGACGTTTATTCTGGAAAACACGTTTCTAGCCACTGAATTTCGTATTGGTACCTAATCATGTCTGCTGTCTTAGAAAATGTTATGGAACGTTCACTGATTCTCATTGACAATCTCAGAAATGCAAATGAAGAAAAATCCCGTGAGAAACTTTTGAGTGAATACCTCGCACAAGAAAATTCCAAAGTTGACATTGGAGATTTCAAAGAAGGTTAGTTCCATGAATTTATACAGTAATGCACCGTATATTTAATTTTTCAAAAGTTAATATTATGTCACAGGAACAACCTTTACGAAATTTTATATGCTACATCATTTATTCATAAAATACTTTTTTCGTACAAGTTTTGTGAATTTTTCTCTTCTCATTATCAGGTGACTGTGTAAAATTAAATTGATTTATCTGTTCATCATTTAAAACATAAGATGCCATCCAATTTTGTATATCCCTGTATAATAATAAAAATTGATATATTACAAATTGTTGTTAAAATGACATATTACTTTATATATTTCATGCACACAAAGTGTGCAAATGTGTGAAAAATAGGTTTGTAATTTTACAGAACTTGATAATGGTAAAAGAAATATTCCCAGAACTAGTATGAAAAAATGTTTTTATTACTAAATTATATAGCCTATAATATGACAGAGAGGTTGGTCCTTTGACGTAATACATGGCTGTCAAAAAAATTAAATATAGAACACATTACAATATGAATTATAGAAATTAAGGCAACTGGTCTAATTATTTTTAACAACTAATTGAATGAATTGTTTGGGTTCTTCAATGATTACTAATTTTGACTGTATGTGACAGGTTTAGAATGGTTTAATGTAACAAAACCTTTGTCAATCCATAAAGAATTGAAGGGCAAACTTGTAATATTAGACTTTTTTACGTACTGTTGCATAAACTGTTTGCATATTTTACCCAAGATGAAAAAAATAGAAGAGGAGCACACTGTTGAAAAAGGTGTTGTAGTGGTAAGTGAAAGGAAACCAAAGTATTTTAATTCATGATGGTAGCCACAAAGTGGAATACTTTTTGTTATGTGAATTAAAGGTAAAAGGCAGTTTGACTCTAGAACATGTGAAATGTGTCCTTGTCTTTTAGGTTGGAGTCCACAGTGCTAAGTTTGACAACGAAAAGGATTCAAGCAATATTATGTCTGCGCTGCAACGTTATAATATTTCTCACCCTGTAGTGAACGATGCTGAAGCAACCATGTGGAGTGCCCTAGGGATTCCGTGCTGGCCCACTCTCCTTGTCCTGAGTAAGAATATTCTTTATTGCCTTTTTGTAGTTATTGGAAGCTTCAAGAATTAATAATATTATGTTACTGTTGAAACTGCTGCCATCACTTGTATCAAAGACTTTATTTATTAATCTAATCACTGGCAGGGGGAGGGGGTTTGAAGCCAAAGACATATTCAGATTGAGATTTTACAAAATTTGTATAATTGCTAAAGTTATTCAGTAACTCAACTGAATATGTTATAAATAGAGCCGGGAAGTTCATGCAATTGCATTTTTTGTTAATGATCATATTTTCCTGAAATTTTAAATGTATATGTTTCATGGCAAAATATTAAAAATAAGGTAAGAAATATTTTGCATATTTAGAGCTTTTTGACATATAAATGAAAGTTTTTGCATATTTTTGTACTTTTTGCCTATAATAACGCAAAAATATGAATTTCCACATAAATTATATTTATTAATAGAAAGCATGGACTTTCTTGTGGCTTCAAATACGTTTGTACAATGAGTTTAGATTACTGATGGCCAATGCCGCTGAAGTAATATCTGCTGTCATCAGTTGTCATAGGTATCGTTGTAATTATTCAGGAGGCAGAGGATAAATTTGTGCTCCAGGAATTAGGAAAAGCAAATAGGAAGAATTCAAATGAAGTTTTTGGATAGAACCTAGGGCTTCAAAATTTACAGACAATGGGTAAATTCTTGGAATGAAAGAATGTTCCTCTTTCCGACAATATTAATATTAAGCACAAACATTGTCTCCCATAACATCATGAGATGTTGAAATATAATTTTCTATGTACATTTTATTGTCTGATAGGAAACACTCTCTATTGTAACAACAGATCACCTTAACAAAATTCTTGTGTCTTTCTGTGCTCTTAATGGAAAATAAAATGTGCAGAAGTAGATACTACTGTGCTTTTAATTTGCATATTCCCTGTCTCTAGATGGCAAAATATATGTCATTGTAAAATACATTTTTGTGTCCAAATGCTGCATGTCTTGACAATTTCTGTTCGTATTTCAACATTTTTGTGGCATATTTCATAACTAAAAGCATGCATTTACTTCCCTACTCTAGTTATAAATAACTATAAATCAAACAAAGTTTAAAAAATCTAAATTTCTTAGAATATTCCTGTATTTGCCTCTGCATTTTTATCCTGTTTTTAATATTACAGCAGCATATCAAAAATATATTTTCTATTACTTTTTTTGTTTCTTTTGGAATTTTCCATATTTCCACATAATTCCGTGCATTACTTCCTTGAATTGACTTACAACTTTCAGTATTTACATTGTAATGTTCAACTGATTGAGTGCAACTATTTTATTGCTTCTTTCTCTTTTCCAATTCATGGTTTGATTTCCTCAGCACTGCCACCGTGAATTAATTCATAATTTTCAGATGCTTCTAGATGTAGGACCACTATAGTACAGGACCATCTGCCACAACCACATTTTCTACTCCCCCTATAGCCATATTGTCTTTAAGAACACAAGTTGGTTTATGGTTTCCATTTCTTGTATTCTTTATTTAGTTTTCAGCATAAACTGTAGAACATATTCATCTCTGGCAAAAATGTCTTAGTCATCAATAAAATTTTGGGAATTTAATGTGCCTTTCATCTTATTTATCATATTTGAAAATATTTTCCCTACATTTTGTAGTGCTTCTTAACCTTTTGAATTTATTTTGTAGAGTGTAAGATTAGGTAATCAGGGCAGAATCTGTTGTAGATATCAATCAGCAATCCGGCTTCAGATCTGTATTAATATCAAACTTAGATGATAGTGAGTTGATTGGCGGCAGCCTAAAAAGATTCTTTTTTAGATATATGTGTTTTTTAATTTATATTGCGCCTTTGTATTTCCACAATTTAAATGGAGAATTTCTATTATATACGTCAAGTATATTTTTAATGCCGGGAGGTTTGCAGATGTGACTGCATAGTTGGGCAATTATACAAAGACACTGACCAATCAGGACACAGTCATTATCATAGGAGGGCAGAATGACATTAATTTGGGTGGTGACTTTACACCGGAACATGTAAATAAATTACAATGTGCCTCCCAAAATACTAACATTGTAGTCTCAAGTCTGCCATTCTGGTACAACAGACCAACACTACGCAGCGAGATTAAGCATGTAAACCAACAATTAAAACTGCAACTGAGAGAAACAAATGTAACACTTAGTAAAAAATTACTTTCAAATTCTATAAAAAAAACAGTGCAAATAGAAGCTTTATCCACCTATAAGTAAAAGTATCTTGGATTCATATGTGTATTGAGCTAATTTTAGGTTATTTAAAAATATAATTTTTAATAACAGCATTTATTTTTTATATAATAATTATGTAATATCAATTATTATTATTATTATTATTATTATTATTATGAAAGTAATGTGTATGATATAATACAATAATTTGTAACTTACCAATTGTTTGCAAATATTTGTTCAAATAATTTAAATAATTGAATTAAACTGCACATTTAGTGGTTTTGCAATTCGCAAAAAAATGGGTTAAATAATTTTTTTTTGAACCATACATCATTTGACCATTACAATTCAAGTCCAAACGGAGCGATACTAGCGCTTACTGCAGTGGCGAAAAGTGGAAGTTATGTTATTGTGTTCATAAAATCATGGCCGGGCATTTAGAAATCGATTGTACAGGTTTATAAAAACCAACTTAATATTTTATTTTCAAACTAGGACATATTAGGCTACATTGTAGGACAGGGCATTCATTGTGATTGTAGGACTGTCCTATCGAAAGTAGGTCGCGTGGCATCCCTGACATCATGTAAAAACAAACGAGTTCTTTCTTTCATTTCTAAGCATCACGACGTAGTATCTCAATATGTACTCTTCTACTTTAAAAAAATACAAGTCATTGTTAAGAAAAGTCTTATGGCAGGGTCAAATTATAAAACATGAACAGGATATTTTAATCTCAAATAATAAAACAAAGGCAATGTGGAATATAGTAAAAAATTCAACCAAATCAACTAGAAACCTTGCAGAGAATATTGGTTTAAAAGATAACGGTAGAAATGTGAACGATTCGGCATCAGTGGATAATCTCTTTAACCAATACTTTGGAGAATTGCTGCCGATCTCACTAACAAAATTCAACATCAGACGTTTCCCCAAAAATTGTAGACTCAACGTTCGTTTCCGAAACTTCTTCCAATAATATTCTCAAAATGATCGGTAGACTAAAAAATAAAGTCAGTCGGTTTAGATGAGTTTCCGGATTGTTTGTTAAAGACTTGTACGCCCGCCATGATGCACCCGTTAACTCACATATTTAATGGATCCTTATGCACAGGTAGATATTTTTAAAATAGCGAAGATTGAGCCACTTTCCAAAAAACGAAACAAAAATGGAATTCAAAATTATCGGCCAATTTCTCTTTTGTCGATTTTTTCATATTAGAGAGACTTTTCTACCTACGAAACATTTCTTAGTAAACAGGGCGCGTTTTCAGATTGCGAACATGGGTTTCGAAAATCACAATCTACGGAAACAGCCTGATTTTTCTTAAAAATGTCGCCTCATCCATTGATCAAAACGAATCGCCTATTGGAATATTATTAGATCTTTCAAAAGCTTTAGATTTCATTGATCATTACATTTTACTCTCAAAATTACCTTCGTATGGAATTCGTGGTGTTGCTCTAGATTGGTTACGTTCGTACCTTCAACAACAATCTCAGAGAGTAGAAATACCTTACTGGAATAATGGAACATTATGTACACACCTTTCTGATTCTTTGCCAATTGCATGTGGAGTCCCGCAGGGATCGATTTTAGGTCCTATTCTATACGTAAACGATATGTCCTCGACGATTAGAAACGGAAGAACAGTTCTCTTTACGATTCTTTGCAACAAAGAAACCGTAAATAGTACAATAGCAAATATTTCAAATTGTTTCCGTAATAAGAAATTAATAGTAAATGAAAATAAAACTGTTTCAATGGACTTTTCCATTTCAAATAAACAGCTCTGCACTTCACTGAAAATGAACGGTGTGCCATTGATGTTAAGGTAACAAAATTTTTAGGTCTTTCAATTCAGTCGAACCTTAAATGGAATGTCCATTTAAATGAATTGAACACTAAATTAAGTTCTTTATGCTATGCTTTCAGAATTCTTTAAAATTCAGTCAGCCTACACACTGCTCTTTGTGTATATTTCGCGAATGTTCATTCCCGCCTGAGATATGGCATAATATTCTGGGGAAATACATCTTATAGTTCACAGACTTTTAGATTACAAAGAAGAATTGTACGAATTATATGTCGATGATAGCATCCCCCTCTCCTAGCTCGTGACCTTGAACTGCCACTCTAAATAGGAGAATTGCTTTCGTTTATTTAGGTTTAAAGATGAAATAATGTATAAGTAATGTATCCCCTTTGCAGGCCCATTAGGAGAGCCTATCTTTGTGGCTGTGGGTGAAAGTAACATGCCAGAGCTTCAGTTGGTGGTGAAGGCGGCGGCTACTGTCTATGGTGACAGGGGCGCGCTCTCCGCCCACCCGCTCCCGGTGCTGCCGCTCGGCCGCGTGGAGAGCCGAGGCCCTCTGCTGTTCCCTGGCAAAGTGGCGTCGTGCAGCAGCCCCAGTGGGCCCCTCGTAGCCATTGCGGATTCGGGCCATCACCGGATTCTAGTCTGCTCGCCATCAGGGGAAGTTCAGGTAACGGCATTACGGTGCAATCTAAGCCGGAATCGATTGGAGCGGGAGAGGTGGCTGAGGGCTTAAATTGACGTCACTGCAGCGCCTCAGCCCGGGAGGTCCGAAGGTTCCACTCGCGACGATGGCAGGATTTCCGTAGCTGCATAGCTACGTCGAATCAGTCACCATCTGGAGGGGAATGCTAGCTGCCGGCTGCTCCCATCGATCAGGCAAATGCAGGAGCAGGGCTCTACCAAACGGGCCTTCCCCTTCCTAGTCCTACCGTCACCATTTACTCTTACACTTACATGCCCTTCACTGCCACTCATGGCGGTAGCGTAGAGCTTGTCCTGACTGGAGCGGTGCCCCACAGGTGGGAGATACCTGGCTGGGAAAACCCTGCTAGCTGACAGGTTACGGCCGGATCTCGCCATCCAGCTGAGAAAGATTACCACCACTTACCGAGCAAAAACATGCACTACACTTACGGGTCTAATGACCTCAAGCAGTTGTGGCACCCGGAATCACTAGTAATCAATTAACTGAAATCGATCGGTAGTCAATTATATGACTGTATTAAACTTTTCAAAGAAACATTAAATATAATGTATTAATGGATGAAATTACCAATAAATAAATATAACACTTTTTCCATTGACAACTGAGATTCTCTTGCTTCTATAAATTTGACCTTTTTATCTAATGTTTCAGTTTTGTGTTTATTTCAACCTTTGTTAAACTGGTTGTGAAACTCATAAAAATACACTCCATATTACTGCCTAGTGGCTCTATTTCGAACCGCGTGCTGACACTTTCAACGCATAATGAGTCACAGCCCAGAGTACTATGACTTGCTGATACCCTTGCATGGCCTTGAGCAATGCATGTCTGGCCGAGGGGTTACGATTTTCGACTCGGGGCAGAGGTATGCGCAAATAGAAGCCATGCCCGTACATCGTTCCACACCCATTCGGGAGGGAATTCCCACGCATTAGGAGACACGCGGTCCGAAGGACGAATTCTACGCAGACAGCTGAAGCCCCTCTCTTTCAAGGTGCTGCTGCCACGACTAAATCGCGAGAATTTAAAACAGGCTTACAAATGCATTTATTTCATTAAGAGTATCTCGCGACTCAGTGCCATTTGCATAAAGTAACAGGAATTGCGTTTTATTGAGGCTTTTTCCCTGAAGGACATGAAAAACCGTTCCGTTTCTGCAGTGGACAGGTTCCGTTTTATGCTGTTGAAAATGCCATTTAACTTACGGGCCGAAGAAATTTTTCTGTTAATGCAGGTTTCCGGCTTGTGCAGGTTCCGATGTAGACAGATTTTCCTGTATTATGGAAGTAGTGAGAGAAAAAGTGAGTGTGATGTTTCTGGCCTCATCACCTGCTTTGCCCATTCGTCCCGTGGGCGCAGTGCATAATACAGCTGAGAGATGGCAGTGTTCTTGTTCTCCCCCAGCCCCTGAAAGTTAGATTCGGCGCCGACCCACAGGTCGGCCGGGTGCTGTACCCCTCCAGAGGTTCTGCTCGTGGAGCGCCACCCCCAGTAGGGGAATATCTAAGCTTCTGACATGCAAGTGAAACTTTTTGCCCATAAATGAAACTGTAGTGTGAATAGTAGTTTTCTACATGGAAATGCAGTTTATACGGTTCACGGAAATTATCTTTTGGATCATTTGTACTGTCAGCGTCGTGTTCTAAACCAAACAGTTTCTTTTCGCCTGCTTTTAGGTAGGGGGAAATCTGCATCTACATTGCACGAATTAGAAGCTCAGTTGCCGTGCTTAGCTTTTAATCAAAATTATTGCGATGTCTGCATGTTCGTTTTAAGAAGACAGGTCCGTTTTTAGAACCTCTGAGGCCCCTGGCGAAGTGGCAAAAATGAGCCTCCCCCTTACACACGCATTTTACATACACACGCAGACACAGATGTTTCATTTTGTCATAAATAAAGATATATTTCTTGTACCTGCATTACTACCAATAAATAAGGGAGTTCAATGCTGAAACAAGAAAGGTAGAGGTTGTATTTTGCTGAAATTTACCCATTGTATATTAATAAATGTAAATTTCGTGTTGGTTCAAATGAATAGATAAAAAATGTACAAGTGAGCTTAGTTTCATTCGTTAGCGCTAACAGAGAATGAAGTATTGTTTCCCGAAGTTGCGAAAATCAAATGGTCGTACTGTAAATCGGTGTCTAACAATCCGCTATATCTCAAAAATCATTTCACCTATAAAGCTACAACTTCTAAGAAGTTCCTTTGAGAAGTTCCTTTGAGAAATGTAGAACTCGACATACAGAATTGCATCAAAATTTGGGATGGAATCGACGGGTATTTTTCCAAAATTTACTCTAAATGACCGTGCTTATACCTTCAGAGCAACTTTTTACTTTCCCGTATACGTACGTATATACGGACTAATATACGTAGTATATGGAAAGTTATGTAATGCTGCAGAAAATCGATTTCGAGGTTTCAACGGGTTCAACAGAAATACACCCCTTTCGGGGTCCCCTGATACCGAAAAAATTATTCTTTTCAAAACGTCCCTCTGTCTGTGAACACTACTAGCACCTAAACCATGCTTAGGATTTTTGTCATATCGAAGAAACTGGGGATACTTTACATGAAGCCCCCCGGACATTTTCAAAATTTTCTCAAAAACTGCTAAAATTTTTTCTTTTAATTTCTCCTAAGAATATAGTAACGTACACTCGTTAAAGTGGCGTAGGACCGATTTTGACGGTTAACTCTCGGTTTTCGAAAATTTCAAAAATATGAATTTCTATCGGTATCTTATTGTCCATAATTATTCTTTCATGAAGGTCATATACACTTTTGTAAAAAATTTAGTCGTTATTTGTGCAATTTAAAAAAGATACAAAACAAGATTTTCTCAAAACCGGATCCAATTTTTTTTCTTTCAACTTTTGGTAGGGATAGTACTAAATGTACTCTAGGAGGCGACATAAACGTCAGTTCGCTCTATTCTTTTGTTTTTTCAAAAATTACAAAAAATAATTTTTTTGAGTCACACGTAAATATTTATATTAGCAGCGATTTGTTCACATTATTATATTGATGAGTAAGTGTTCTTTAAATAATGTCATATGAAGCTCCTCGAAAACTCAACTGTTTTCTGTGAAAATGAGCTCAAAATTCCGCATTTTCAGACACACTCAAACGCCATTTTCCCAAAAATGGCTCTGAATTTTTCTCCAAACTTTTCGGTTGGATAGTGCTAATTTCACTCTTTAATATGACGTAAAGAGTTCATTTCGGGGTATATTTTTAGTTTTTTAAATATTGCACAAATGTAATTTTTTTTGAAAGATCTCTCACGCTGTTAGGATGCACGTTTGCAGGAAAACTGTTGTATTTTGAATTGGAAGTGCTTGAAATGACTTCGTATGATTTTTTTTGAAAACACAAAATTTTTCTGTGAAAAAGAGCTTCAAATTTCGAATTTACTGTGGCGCTTAAGCGCCATTTTCTTAAAAACTGCTCCACATTTCTCAAAGATAACTGCCATTTAGGGCAATGTTTTACTTTTTAATACTCTTAAAATAATATATCGGTTCTACTATTAGGAAACCGAAAAATTAAGATTTCTAAAAAATGTACTTCGTGCGAAGATTGGTGTCAGCTGGCAAGAGTATGTGGCAAGTTCGTGTTGCTAGCTGAGACTAAAAGAAATAGAAAACAAATACGGGAAAGTCTGTGCCATTGTGTAGCACCACTAGTTACTTCACCAGATTTGGTGTCACTCTGCATTTTTCCTTATGCTATCATAATTAAGAACCAAAAGTGAAAACGAGCGTTCGAAGGTTTTGCGTAGTCGTGCGCTACGACGACTGCCACTGCTCTTAGCAGTGAAACACAACTTCGATAAAAGTAGTGCCTAAACAGGTCATATTTTCTCGCAATTTTCGAACATTAGCACTTGCCTGCGTCGCTAGCCAAATTCCTTTAATACGCTTTGTGCAGTGGCGAATGCGAGACTTCGCGGGTTCCTATTTGGTGTCGTCTAGGAAGCCCGGGATCCAATGGCTCCGAGACCCTGGCCGAAGGGATAAAAGGCACTGACTGACTGCGAGTCTTGGAGGTTTACTCTGCCAGACGCTCAACGCGCAAGAAGAGTTCAGAAGCGCGTTGCATCGTCGGAAAGGCCACAATTTGTTTTAAAAATTCAAACATTCCAAAAGTGCAATGAAAATGGGACCTGCGCCATTTTAAGCGTTCCTTTCTCTTAGAAAAAATGTTGGGCCTTTTTTGAGAATTGCTTTTTATAAGTTGCTGTCAATTCAATAAGAAATTACCGGAAAACTATTCTTTTTTCACAAAAAAGTATATTACCTTACTTAAAGTTCTAATTTTTAGAACTTTTTATCATTTAAGGCAAAAATCTCTACCATCAACAGTGTACTCTTGCAGTGTGTATTTTTTTCCGAAAATTTTGGAAAATACAGTTTGATTTTGCGATGTGCACCCGTTGCGAAAAAGGGACCAGCACCGGCTTTTTACCTCTTTTTGTTACGGACGAGGAAATAATGGTCATTTTTTGAGAAAATAATTGTTTAGGTATTATTTTTCACGCAAAATTACGTGAAAGTTCCTCACGTTTTCTAAAAATTGTACTTGACTATATTTCAAGATCTGTCTTTCAACAAGGTTTTATTAAGAATAATCTCCATCTTCAGTATTGTAGAAAGTAGCCGAAAAAATGTTGAACTTTGGGAATTCTCGAAAAATCAGGAACTTCAACGAAAATGAGACCTGCGCCGTCATATCAAGAGTTTGCTATTCAAGGACAATGTTTGCAGAAAAAATGGCAGTTTCCGTAGATTTTGATTTTCTAACCCCTTGTTTTGAGTCTGAAAACGATTCGTTTTTTCTGAGAAAAGTTTCCATTGGCGTATGGAAAAGCCTTTCTAATATTGTTGAGAAGCCCTTCAAAAGAGAAATTGGTTGATAATTTTAAATTTAATTTTTCTTTTTTTAAAAGAATAGAAGAAATTTTTGCGGTTTTGAAATTATCTGGAAATATTCCTGTGCATAAAGAAGCATTGAAAATGTGAGCTAACGGGTAGTATAAAGGCAGGTACACAAGTTGTCAATAAACAATCCGGAAATTCATCTAAACCAGATGAATATTTATTTTTTAGTTTACTGACTATTCTCAGGATCAGTTTAGCAGCCAGACCAGACGCAATAGGAGACAGTAAAAACTGTCGATTTCTTGGGCCAGCATGCACTCTCTGCAGCATGTAGCATTCTCAACGAAGTGTTTACACTTTGGCGATCACTAAAGTTTCTCGCACTCCTCCCGCCACCAAAGCAGGCGCGCCGGATTCTGATTTCCGACTGCGTCTTCACATAGCATAACTGGAGCACCACATAGCATATAGCACGCAGTGAAGGAAAAGTCTAATTTTTTAAATACCTCTTTCCATTAAGAAATGTAATAAAATTGAAAAAAAATGATAAAATGAATCAATTTGTGAAAACAAAATATGTAGTGAAGTTCTAAATATGTATAAAAAAAAAGTGAAGAGAAAAAGTGTTTGGAAGGTGACGATTCGACAAGATTCCAATTTTGAGAACGGTATGTAGAAAGACAAGAAAGTGTAATTACATAAAAATCGATCTCTATTTAGCAATGCGTCATCCGACTCAACGTGATGGAAAATGAAATGTACGGATAAGACAAACGACAAGTTTTGTCGTTTCGTCTTTTCTTATCTGAGAGGAGGCGAACCTCCGGAACTGTAATTCTGAATACTACATGCGCAAAGCTCTCGTTAATGGGTCTTCCATGCGAAAAGAAAGAAATTACGTTTGGTACACAGTCGAGGATGTTTTATGCAAATCACGAAGTCGGAAGTCCCGAGACTCGCCACCCCATCTTGGAAAGGTTCGGCGAAGCACCCTTTGAGGTGTATATTACTAAAGTTGTGATATTAGACCAGGTTAACAGGAACCGTGTGGTAGAAAATAACGACTGACACAGAGGATCTAGAAGTTGCGTGCTTTATCTCTCTCTCCCTTTAAAAGCTTCCCGCTAGCAGTTATGTTCGAAGAACAGACTTCAGGACAAAAGATCTGTGTCTTCAATATTGTAATTGTAGAAAGATGCTGAAGTAGTTTTGAACTTTTGCTAGTTTTGAAAAATAAGTGTTACTCTTAATGTTTGTGCTTACACAGTCGTTTCTGAATAAAAATACGCTTATCACGGATTTAATAATCATTTCTCAGTTGGACAATTTTTATTGTCTCAAATTTAATAGTATAGTATAGACTGAACCTCTGTTTGAAAGTTTGTGTGAGTGCGTGTGCTATGGCTTGCTTGCTTGCTTGTGTGAGTGAACGTGTACTCATTATTTTGAATTACAATAAAATTGTACTAATAAAAAAAAAATAGGAGAGTTGTGTATATATACTTTTAACACTGAATTCTTTTTATTTTAGAATGTTATTGGAAAAGGTACAGCTGGCTTTTGTGATGGAGACTTTGCTACTGCAAAATTTTTTAGTCCACAAGGTCTTGCATTTGTGGATTTTGATACATTATATGTTGCTGATACTGAAAATAATGCCATCCGAAAGGTATGTTGTTAATTATGTGTATCAAAAATCTCTTACAACTGAACTTTGCTTGTGAATTGACTTTACAAGAGAGGTAATGACTGAGAAAAAAATCATAGTAACCATCTTCTTTATTGAGAATTGAAAATTATAAAATAATGAATGTGACTAGTAGGGGGCAGAATTTAATGACCTAAAGCATTGCAAAAAATGAGAAATAAAATACTCTTAAAATGCTTTAAAAATGCCCTAAAAACAAAGAAAAATGTTAAAAAAATTTGATGAAAACCACTTCAGATGAACAACCCAAGTTGGGTATGTTATTGATCTAATCGAGGCTTTCTCTTTTCGTTCAAGTGAACTCAGGTTGTTAATGGATGGTTTGCACTGCTCTCTTAAAGAAAATCCCTGCCTTTTATATTGTGAAATTGGCCAATCTGAAAATGCTGCTGATAGGCGTCACTGGAACCTTATATTACATAGTATTCACAACAGCCTACATTACAATATACGAGCGAAGAAATCCAATAGGCAACTCTGGAATTTTGTGGTGAACATTTGTTTCACCTTGTGAATATTATTTGTAGAAAGCACCATTAAAATGATATTAAAATCAATGAAATCAGGAAAAAATGCATTAAAAATTATACAAAAAGTTAAAAAATGAATAGGTAATGTATGTAGGTATAAATGATTTGTTTTTGTGTAACATGTCAAAGAAATAGAAATACATTTTAAAAATAAAATAAACATTTCAAACACCACAAAAATAGGACAGATTAGAGTACAGAAACATATTGTGTACATTATAGTGCAAACACACATTAATGTACCTGAAACACTTAAAGAATATGTCATGAATACAATGTGTTTATATTAATTTCTCTTGGGGATTGCTTACCAAAAACAATGCATTTTTCATTGCTGTTCTGATGGATGTTTCTACAAATCAGATGGCTCATAGAAAGTATTGTAATTATTACCCAGAATTAATATGATTTAGCAGCTTGTAGAAATTAAATTAATTAATGATTTGTTTCGTTATACTTGGAGGGGTTGGTTATTTTCAGAGAAACACTGTTATATATTTTATGATAAAACAATAGAACTGTAAGTGCAGTTTTGTAGCTTATGTCATCCCTTGATAACTCATGATCTATTCTCTGACAAAGCTGAAGTGATACTTTTGATGGCTGGCTATTTTGTTTAGTGCTACCTTTTTAACTTTTCTTAGAATTATATTGAAGAAAGGGGGTGAAAAAAAAATACTTTTCCTTGTTTTATCTCTAGTTTTTAATGGCCCTACAATTCTTATGAATGGTAATGAATTAGTACAGTGTAATAGTCTTGAAATAGTATTTGGATAATAATGAATGTTAGCCTAAACAATGACAAAAAAGATTGAAAATATAAAGTGAAGAAAGTATTTTGAATAAACATGTTATCTTGTAACATAACCATAATGTGTGGTTGCTCTGATCTGTTTTTTGATCTTTTCAGATTGACTTCGTGTCTCAAAAAGTAAACACAGTACTTACCAATCAGAAAGCAGAAAATGGAACGGAAAATGTACTTAGTTCACCATGGGACATATGTTCGTTGCCAGATGGAAGCTGTCTTCTCATTGCTGCTGCTGGTTCCCATCAGTTGTGGGGGTTGTTTCTGCGAGACACTCTGTGGTGGCGTAATACTCACATGCCTGCTGGGACATGTGTTCCGGTGGCTGGTACTGGGCGGGAAGAGAATCGCAACAATGTGTATCCTCATGCAGCAGCTTTTGCGCAACCTTCTGGTGTATGTGTGGCACCAACGCTGAATGCTGTGTTTGTAGCAGACAGTGAAAGCTCTAGTGTGAGACGCGTTGATCTGAAAGATGGTCGTGTATCGGCAGTTGTTGGTGGTGGTCGAAGTCCAACTGTAAGTGTGAGATTGATATTCAGATTTCCGTGCATAATGTTGCCAACACACAACAAATATTCATTCTACTGACTGTTGCGAGAGAGGGGACCATGGAAACAGGTGTAGCTTTTGTGATAAGTTGATGGTAAATTACTTGAAAGTAAGAGGTAACTTACAGGTATAACTTGGATATGAATTAAGATTACTGAAGGTTAGGCAACTTACGTAACTATTGCTATTGCTTGATATAGTATATAAACACTCATTTATAGTCTATCAGTTCCTCAATATAGATTTGCATAGGCTTCAGCTTGATAAAATATCACATTTCATAATTAATAATTCATTTTATTTATTCACTTCATTAATTAAAAACAAAATTAAACCCTTGTGCTTTTTAGTATGTCATGTTTAACCTGTGTAGGGTCAGAGAATGTTAGGAATCTTCTCTTTCAGCCTTTTCTCTGTTACTACTCACTTCCATGGCCCTCTGTTTAATTAATGTAATTTGTGTTTTTCTGGAGATTGTATAAAAGTTCAATTTCATGTGGTGTGTAATGACAAGTCGGTTTTGTTTTCAGGATCTGTTCTGTTTTGGGGATGTTGATGGTCGTCAGTGGGATGTTAAACTTCAGCACCCCTTGGGGGTGGCTTGGAGTACAGTAGAAGGGGGAGCGTTGTATGTGGTTGACTCATACAACCACAAGTTAAAAAAAGTGTTGCCAGAAGAGCGTACTTGTCACACAGTTCTTGGTATTGGGGTTGCCGGAGATAGTGTGAAGCAACTTGCTGAACAGGTAATATAATTCAAATTCAGAGGCGATTAATTTAAGCATCTTATCTTAATAACAAATAACTATGGGGGGCCAAGGCTGTTCAGGCCCATGCATTAACACAGCACTAAAAACATGTATGTCGTTCTCATGCTTTGGGAAACATTTGTCATAGTTGAATGAACCTGGTGGATTGTGTGCAAGTCCATGTGGATCCCTTTTATACATTGCTGATACCAACAACAACTGCATCAAAGTAGTCCAGCTGCATGCCAGTGAAAGCACTCCAATTTCTCTTCATAAGGTAAGTTAAAGGAAATGTTTATACATTGAATATATCCTGTTCTGACCTGAACTAATTCTGATTCAAATGTATTATTAGACTAGAGTTTCTGGCATTTTTAAATTTGTGGAATATGAGTATAAATTAATGCCTATGGAAAGTAAACATCGCTGATTGACTTAAAACTTTTATTAAAATGAGAAAAGGAATTAATTGAAATGTTTAATCAAATCGTAATGTATTTATTTTGTTTTCTTGGTGAAAGTACCAAAAAATATGTTGTTAAATAGATTTATGAATGAGATTTGCTTTTCAAATATGCCATATGAGCCTCAATGTGAAATCAAGAAGTTATGAAATTGTGTTTTTATTACTGGTATTTTCATACACTTTTATTGCAATAAAGATGTATCTTCCTTGTTGTTTCATACCAAAGCTGAATGTGAAACTGACAAATACTTCTGCCAGCCTCCTAGCCCCTGAAATTGCTAAAGAAGTGAGTGTGTGTGTGAGCCCTTCTGGGGGAGAGATCTGTTGGCGGGTGGGTGTGGAGCTGCCGGAGGGATTCGCGTTGACATGTGGGGCTCCGCAGCGCTGGGCTTTGCAGGTGCCCAGTGCCTCTGGCTGGGTAGGAGAGCCTGCCAATGGACAACTGTCTTCAGGGTTGGCACAGGGGATGGTGAAAGTGCCTCCGGGAAGTTCTGCCAGTATACAACAAGTGCTGTTTGTTGCTACTCTGTTTACATGTGACAATGCCAATACTTGTCAGCGCCAAAGTACTTGTGTGGCTTTGAATGTTAAGTATGAAGAAGGAGCTTCAAAGCAGGTAGAGTGTAGCATATTACATAAAGTGCAGATGAAAAAAGCTCACTGATTTGAATGAAGGTATCTTTGATGCAGAATTATGATTTCTTTTGAAGGAATTGTTTAGCAGCCAGTGTTTGTTTTCGAATGAAGGATATGTAAAATGGTTTTTAATATCTTAATAGGTTGTCTTAGAGAACACAAGGGTTCCAGATGCACAATATTTAGAAAGTTTTAAATGCCTTCTAACTTATTATTTAAAATTATATTTTTTATTTGATTGAGTGATAAATCAAGGTTTGATTGTTTAGTACCACTGAATATGAAGAGATTTCAGTGGGAAATTGTAAATGTTTAGTTGTGGAAAGAGAGTTTTGAAATATTTGTGATAAGTGATGTGTGGAAACACAAATAATTTAACACTTTTGCGTTGAGTGTTGTTCAGAGGACTGAATTTGTTTCTTATTCTGGACTTGTAGCAAAATATAACAATTCTTGCTCTCTAGTCAGACGTACTGACAAACATTTCCCAGCTAAAATTATGTTTTGCTGTCCAGTGTTCATCATACTGAATCTGAAATTTTTATGAATTTCATGAATTTTCCCCCCTTATGTTCCCCTACCTCTCACCAGCATTATCTACCAAAGTTCTGTATTAAAATCGTATTAGTGAAATTTTACATCCTTTCATAATATGAATGTTTTGTTGGAACAAAATAACAAGTTTCAATTTAATATGGTATCTTAGTCATTAAACATTTTCAAAATGAACCAGAAGAGTTCCATAGCTTATTAAGGTAAATATGTATTTAAAGATTAAATGAGTAATTGGAGTGCCTTCCAGAGTGTAATATTTATCATGGATTGCATGATTATGTATATGATGTAAAGACATATCAGATACAGCTTCCTTTTGTATTTTTTATACATGGTTTATTAACATCTTCATTATCTCTAGAAACCTGAGCATTTTTTATGGTTATCATAACATATTTTTTATACAAATATGATTAGAAAGCAATTTGTTTCAAAAACAATGTTTCACTTGTAGGATATGAAACTTTGTACTTTCACACTATTGTGATCTTAAATGTGTACGGAGTGAAAAACGAGTCTTCAAGACCTTTTTTTTCGGATAAAAAAGAAACATCTTTTTGGAAGGAGAGATCACTCTCATGAGATATACTATTAAATATTTTGTATTTTGAGAGAAAAGACTTCATGAGATAAACGGCTAAGAATTAAATGATGAAAAGAAGTGTTTTAAACTCTCGGGTGATATAAGCTATGCTTTATGTGCTGTTAAATTAAAAATGTGTCCAAACTATATGTATATTTTTATTCCATGACCATTGCTATTTATTTTTCTACTCCTAAAATCATTAGCATTTTATGAAATTATTTTTGAGACTGGAAGAAGTACTGAGTTGCTCAATCAGCAATGCAATTTTGAGATTTGTTGGGAGAGTAAAGCTCTGTACCTGTTGAGTTACATTTTGGACGTTTTTGTTTTTATAAGGTGAATGTTGTCAGCAGGTACAGTTTTGATCAATTTAACAGGAGTGATTACTATAAAAGAGAAGAACCATGAGAAAATGAATGGATTTGTTTTGCAAATATTTTCATTTTAATTGGTAAATATTTTCTTTTATTTCTTATGTAATATGGCAACAGATGAATAAATCTTTACATATTATTCACCTCCAAATGATTGTATAAATAACCAAAGCTTAAAAAACCTGTGCCTATGAAGTGAGAAAATAGCTATATAATGCACTGGAGATATTACAAAACTGATAAAAAAAATTTCCCTTCTTTGAATGTTTGGAACCTGATGTAATATTCCCAGTTTTTTAGCACAGCCCAGCATCTTCCCAAAGCACTCTCTGGAAATAAATATTCCTTTTCTGGAGTGAAATGCCATTCCTCGGTATGTCAAGATTATTTGCTTTGGAGCAATCAATATATCTACCAACACAAAGTTTCAATTAGTGACTACAGTGGCAAATTCTAAAAGGGCCACTTTTGACTTTGTCGCATTTATGTAGTATTTACAGCCACAGGAAAATGTATTTGTTCATTGGATAATTTAAAAGAAATATTTATTTTATTTCATTGGTTTCATATATGTAATGTATAACAAAATAGTATGACTTCCATAGATAATACTATTTATAAATGAATACCCTGAAAATATGAAAAGACAAGTAAAAACATTAAATTTACAATGGGTAAAAAGTATTTGTATACTGTTATTGCTTTCATTTTATGGATTGTATTGCTATTAAGTATTTAGTTTGATTTCAATATTACCTTGAAGATTAATCTCTGATATTTTGTGCAGAAAATCAAATATAGTTCATTCAAATATTAAGTGAGCAAGTTTGGTGGTTGTTTTTTAATGGTCTTACTCCATTTTTTTCCAAAATGTAATATTTAGAGGTTTCTGTGAACATAACCATCTTTTAGAGAGTTCACTAATGTGTCTCCACAAATACTGGATTTGATTTGATATTTGGGGGTTGTGGATGTGTGTTAATAAAGAGGGTAGCGGAATAAGATAAGTAAAAGTGCCCCTGAGGATAAAAAAGGTTTTATGTTGAAAATCATAATTGAAGTGTGAAAAACAAAAAACATTTTCCCCCGGATTTAAAACAATTTACCTGAAGTACTTCATACAAATGAAAACAAAAACTGTTTTTTTTTAGCTTCTTGTATAAGTTATTTTTAAAAAAAATCACATTACCCCTATGAATATCGACATCCATTATCCTCGTGATTTTCTATAGATGTTTCGAGAATTTTCTCTAATTTTTTTTTTTAATGTTTGATTTTGACCCTTACACTCAATGAAAATGAAAGGATAAAAAGAAAAAATAACTTTTAAAAAAAATTATTTTAAGAATATCGCATGTTCTGACCCAGATCAATAAAGGGCTCAATATAAATTATAGCCCTGTAAATTCTCCAGTTTCCCAAAGTTTCAACCTTTTATCTTATAATTTGCACATGACAGCTCTCCCCCCTTCCCCCTCCCTGTGTCTGTGTCTGGCGAATATAATTTAATGCTATCCTATTTATCTTCTTAAAATTAATTTTTTAAAATCATTTTTATAGTTTTCCTGTTTTATTAGAAAATATAATAACAAGAAACGAAATCGTTAGAGAAGTAATATAACCTATTTTAATTTGAATATGGATGAATAACCTAATTTTAAAAAAGTTATTAACGAATTTTTACTGTTTTGAAAATTATTGGAGATATTCCTGTTCACAAACAAGCAAAGAAAAACGTATATAAAGGCAGCTGAACAAGTTTTTAATATACATTCTGGGAATTCATGTAAATCAGACGAATATTATTTTAAGTTATTATATTCACTCGTTATCTTGAGCCCCCGAATCACTACCCCCATTCCTTTCCCAACCGTAGTTGCATTGAGAATGATTGATAGCTATTAGAGTTGCAGGCAAAATCTGGTGTCGAGGAATATTCGCTCCCGTGAATTAAAAAGTATTTTGCTTGGAAAAATGAAGTACAAATTCGACGTAAAATTCGTTTTGTCAAAATAACCAAACTCCCTACTCCTCTCGCATCTAGTAAAGCGAGGGGTCAAGTAAACATGCACGGATAATAACTGACTATTCTGATGATTTCGCTGGAAGTTTCGAAAAAAACAGCAGCATTGTGTCGAAAAACGTATTTTGTTTTTGATTAATTTTTTGAGAAACGTATGATGTTGAATTGTATGGTTTCAGTCCCTTCGAGGCAGAACGCCCGTCCGTGAATCACGTTGGAGGCCAAACCTGCCAGCCTATTTTCTCCTAAATTGATATTCCTCAATCGCTGCTGTTGCGGCCCTTTGAATTTGAAACCCATATTTAAATTTTGGTGGTACTTTGCATGAAGCCCCTGGAACATTACCAAAATAATGGCTGTTCTTTATTAAACTTGTTATTTGATAGTGTGACGTTTAGGGCCGGTTTCACCAACCGGAGTTGATCCGGATCAACTTCGGTTTGATCCCGTTGTACGTTTCTCCTCGCACTTGACATGAATCAACATGTTTGACTCGGATCAAATTTGACTCGCAATTGATCCGTCGCCGAGCGGTGGATCACGGCCAGATAAGGAGTTATTTCTCATCTTGGTCGTCTAGCTATTCCAGTTTTCCGTGTTTTTTAAGTAAGCACCTGTAGTTGGACATAAATTCAGTATGGAAATATTCGTTAAGAAGTAGGATTACGCGTAATATTTGTTGAGCAAACGTGTTTTTTAAGATAGTATTGTAAGTAAAAGTAGGGTTAACACAATTGAAGGTTAGAATTCTCGGTATTGGGAAGTAAAATTCAAATATATTTTGGCTTCAGATTAGTGTAATTATAAGTAGCATTAGTAAAAAAGCATTTTGTGATATCTGTATTCCAATTGACGTGGGACAGTTTTATCGAATATTTTTTTTTAGTGTAGTAATACTTTCAATTTTTGTTCTTGTTAGGGTAATTTGTGTCGTGATAATAGAGTATGTTTTGGAATGTGACTCAATAAATATTATTATTATTATTATTATTATTATTATTATTATTAATGAAGCCATTGAAGATTTATTGTGGGGAGAGACACCATGAGTAATTCCCAAAAGAAGCGATTATTTTGAAATGTCAGAACGAGCATTAAAACTTTCTATGTATTTACTCATTAAGCTTTCGAGTAATTCTCTTTTAACTGGAGAGAAATTGGGCGTAGTCTATGCATTCTTTCCAACGTCAGGTGAATCCATCACCGAACAAGAACACCACACAGACGGAACGAAATGAAATCAAAACAACTCGTTTTCTACAGCTGACCGCGAGAATACCCACAATGCATTGCAAAAATGTTGCCAACAGCGCATTTTCACGACTGCTCACGAATCATGGGATCCAGATTAACTTCGATGTCTCAAAACGTTGGTGAAACGCACAGGGATCAAGTCGGCCTTGACTCCGCGGATCAGGATCACGAAACTCGGATCAACTACGAATTTGATCCTGGTTGGTGAAACCGGCCCTTAAGGGAATGGCGTAAGTCTCCATGATCATTAAAATCCTTGTTTTTTTTTGAAGATTAAAGATAATTCAATTTTTTTTCGTCGTCTTCCTACAATTAGAATTATAAAGGTAACCATTTTTTTAACGCATTGTGTTTATGAAAAACATCTAAAAATTTTGTCACTTTCAATTTTTCAAAAACACGAGTATTTTTTTTTCAGGCATAGGCAATTTTAATTCTTTTAGCTATTTTTTTCATAAAAACGGCACAAAGCGTTTGGATTTATACTACAAATAATACTTGTCTACTAGACAGCTCCCGGCTGACAGTGGAGAGGGGATTTAATTATCCAATCAGAGGCTGCAAATTGTGATATCACTACAGAGTTGCTGACATTTACCAAGAAACAGTTCAAAGCAACTGAAAATGGTAGAGCGTTGAAGAGTGTGATGAGTGACTTTCTGGTCTAAGATATATACTCTGGTCTGATGCAAGAGTGACCCATGTTTTTGCCGCTCGAGGAAGTGGCAACATCGCTCTCCCCAACTCCCTGCTGTCAAGCCCACAGAAACATTATTCGGAGAATAGTTTACACCGTAGACTGCACATGGGACGCTTACAGTGGTGTAAGTCTTATGTTAAACTGCTTTTTTTTTTCTTCGAAAAAAAGGTATTTCTTGGCGTCTTCCTACAACTACAATTGTGAAGATTTTTCTTAATGAAATGTGTTTAAAAAATCTTCAAATAACGTTATATTATTGCTTTTTTGAAAACATGAATTTTTTTTGTGTAATTTGGCGACAAACATCGCCTGTTCGATATTTACTGCACTACGTGAACGTAATTCCAGACAGTTGGATGCTTCGTAAGTTAGAATTTGTATATTATTTCACATTTATTTGTTTCTTACATTCGACCTTTTGTTATAGACTTACACGATAATCTTTTTGAAATTATTTGAAACGTATTTGAAATATATGAAATAAAAATTGGTAGCCTTCTTGGACTATCAGATTGGAATGCAACAATGGCATTCCATTCCGCGAATCGGCAGCAGAATTTCTGTGAATGACGTCTCATTGTTGGGACATGATTTAGCTGTATGAAAAGCAATTGTCAAATTTTTATTGATATTTGCTAGAAAATATGTAGTTTTTACCAAATGTTGTACAATTTGTAATAAGTTTTATTAGAAACGACTGAGATGTATTAGTGCGGCGAGAAGTAGTGGTATAAATACTATTAGATAACTATCACTAAATCCGATAAGTACGTGTTGTTTTAGCACGCTTATTCTATGTTATCCACGCGTGGGGGGAGACGTGTGGCGAGCATGGCATATTCCTATCACCGTGTGTAGCATCCTCAGCCCGCCTGAGCATTTTCTTGTTCTCACACAGCCATACAAGCTAGTATTAGGAACCTACAACTCAACTTTTGCCGCGACTGGCAATCAAACGCGGAATCGCCTGAGTGCCTGGGGCTGCAGTTGCACTGGGACCCTTTATGTCAAAAGATCCCCTTCCCCAATACATAACAGAATTCATCTCTCCATCTGACGGAATCCACTTATAGTGGTTAATTTGAATTAGAAGCAAATCAATTTTTATATGTTTTGAATTAAACAACTTTTAGGCCTCAATGAAGTCCGGGTCTGAGGCAGTTGCGCCAGGTTTTCCCCCTGCTTATCTTTCTGTTTTTTTAGCCATCTCTGCCAATTGAATCCAATTTTTGAAAGGGGCGTAACTCACATTGTTACTAAATGTAACATTCGCCCTTTAAAAAAGTTTGGATTCAATTGTGTTTTCTGTGCCGCATGTTGTCCATTTCTGTCTGCAAATGCCACTGTGATGAGATAAAATTCTTCAGTTAATACGATAATTCTAGTTCCTCTAAAAGTGTCTCTCTTCTTAATTTCCAGATACTAAAACTCAGTCCATCGAGTAAAGGGATTCGATATATTTTCGCTTCCGTTGCCATGTCAAAACGTTTAGAATAGAACTTCCATGAGCTACGTATTGCACAAAAGTTTCCGAATTAAAACGAACCTGGGCTCATAACCTGATTAATTGTTAGGTTTCCGGGTCTAAAAAATCCTGGCATGTGAATATGTGTGTGTATGTCGACTTCGACTTCGACTTCGACTTCGACTTCGACTCCGACTCCGACTCCGACTGACTTCGCCTTCGACTGCCTTCGACTTCGCTTCGACTCGGC